TTTGGTGGGTTTATTGGGGGGTTTATGGGGGGGGGGGGGGGGGGGTTTATGGGCGGTTTAGGGACGGTTTTCTGGAGGTTTGGGGAGGGGGGGGGGGGGGTATTGGTCGGATTTGGGGTTTTGGGTTTGGGCTTGTGGGGGTTAGGGTTTGGGGCTTTGGGGCTTTGGGGCTTTGGGGCTTTGGGGCCTTTGGGCCTTTGGGCCTTTGGGCCTTTGGGCCTTTTGGGGGCCTTTGGGCCTTTGGGGTTTTGGGGGTTTTGGGGTTTTGGGGTTTTGGGGGTTTTGGGGTTTTGGGGTTTTGGGGTTTTGGGGTTTTGGGGTTTTGGGGTTTTGGGGGGGTTTTGGGGTTTGTTTGGGGTTTTGGGGGTTTGGGGTTTTGGGGTTTTGGGGTTGGCTTGGGCTTTGGCTTTTGGGCTTTGGGGCTTTCGGGGGCTTTGGGGTTTGGGGGCTTTGGGCTTGGGGCTTTGGGGTTTTGGGTTTGGGAGTTTTGGGGTTTTGGGGTTTTTGGGGTTTTGGGTGGGTTTTGTGGGTTTTGGGGGCTTTTGGGGTTTTGGGGTTTTTGGGTTTTGGGTTTTGGGGTTTTGGGGTTTGGGGTTTTGGGTTTTGGGGTTTTGGGGTTTTGGGGTTTTGGGGTTTTGGGGTTTTGGGGTTTTGGGGTTTTGGGGGGTTTTGGGGTTTTGGGGTTCTGGGGTTCTGGGGTTCTGGGGTTTTGGGGTTTTGGGGTTTTGGGGTTTTGGGGTTTTGGGGTCTTGGGGGACGCTCGCGAGCTTTGGGCCTTTTAGGTGTGTTTGGGGGTTTGGGGTTTGGGGTTTAGGGTTTAGGGTTTAGGATTAGGGTTTGCAGTTTCATTTGGCTGAGCTGGGTACTCTAGAGTCTCTAGCTGAAAGCTCTCAAACCCCAAGCCACCCAAACAGCAAGGGAGGGGGGCCTATATGTTTGGAATGGGAAATAAAGTTGGGTGGTTTTATCTGACACGTATTTTGGGGTTAATTATTGGGACGAAGCATGACAATTCAGGATAAGGCATTGCCCTCGGCCTCTGGCCACAGCGAGGACGCAACGAGGTTCCGCAGCGCGTCGTCCGCCATGGGGAAGAGGGGGGGGCGAAGGGGTTTAGGGTTTGGGGTTTGGGGTTTTAGGGTTTGGCGTTTGGGGTTTAGGGTTTAGCTTGCAGGGATTCCAAGGGCAAGCGTGCCTCTGAGTAACAGATATACATGCAGCCTCCCCCTTTTAGGGCTTTAGGGATCAGTTCAGCCCTAAACCCTAAACCCTAAACCCTAAACCCTAAACCCTAAACCCTAAACCCTAAACCCTAAACCCTCAGCTAGGATTCCATGATTTAGCATGTAGGGTTGCGGGTTGTGATGGGTTCAGGTGCTCCTGGGCGAGGGCTAAGACAACAAGTGCCATGTGCTGTCGGACTGCAACAGCCTGGGAACCCCCGGTTTAGGGTGTAGGGTTTAGGATTTAGGGTTTAGGGTTTAGGGTTTAGGGTTTAGGGTTTAGCATAACTTCAAGTCCACACCGCCCAAACCCCCCTAAACCCCAAATCCCAGACCCCAAACCCCAAACCCTACACCCCAAACCCCAAACCCGAAACCCCAAACCATAAACCCCAATCCTAAACCCCAAACCATAAACCCCAAACCCCAAACCCTAAACCCTAAACCCTAAACCCCAAACCCCTAGAACCCGACACCCCTGACCCAGCTGAGCTCCAAGTGGGTGAACCTCCAGGGTGTGGTTTTAGGGCTTAGGGCTTCTAGGCCTTGGGGTTTAGGGTTTAGGGTTTAGGGTTTAGGCTTTAGGGTTTAGGGTTTAGGGGTTAGGGTTTAGGGCTTAGGGCTTAGGGCTTAGGGCTTAGGGCTTTAAGGCTTAGGGCTTTAAGGCTTAGGGCTTAAGGGCTTAGGGGTTTGTGCGCCGAGCTCAAGAAAGCGAACGGGGTCGCACCCCGGTGCCTTCGGCACCGAAATGCTAGAGGGCGCGGCCGAGGCGCGGCCTAAATCCTTTGGGGAGTCAAGGGTTTCCCCTCGCCAGACCCTAAACCCTAAGCCCTCGACCCTAAATCCTAAAACCTAAACCCTAAACCCTACCTTAACCCTAAACCGAACCAAACCCTGGAATACTCCAGGCATGGACCCCCCAGAAGGAAAGCTGTTATGGAAACTTCTCTGCGCCGGCGGCGCCCTATGGGCTCCAGCGCGTGCGGGAAGGGGCGCAGGCGCGGGAGCTGGGATCAGCATTCAGAACTTCGCGTGCTTTCCACTTTGGGTTTAGGTTTAGCGTCTTTAGGGTTTAGGGCTTAGGGTTTGGGGGTTGCTGCGGGTTACAACACAGACTTAAAACCTGTTGAGACGTTTTTCTGCGATTCAACTTCCATGCAGCATGGGTCAGAGGATGTTGGCGGGCGGGGGGGGGGGGTGGAGTCTTGCGCAATTTTGAGCCCTTAACCCCAAAGCCTGAACCCTACACCCTAAACTGCAGCTGGTACCCAAACCCCCTAAACCCTAAGCCCTAAGCCCTAAGCCCCAAACCCCAAACCCCAAACCCCAAACCCCAAACCGCGGACCCTAACCTAAACCCTAAAGACTCAGAATTGGATCGACGCAACTGATCCGCGGAAGCTCACACGCGGAGCGCACGCATTGACAAGAGGGCCCGGGGAGCTCCATAAGGGAGTCAGTTTAGGGTTTAGGGTTTAGGGTTTAGGGTGTAGGGTGTAGGGTGTAGGGTGTAGGGTGTAGGGTGTAGGGTTTAGGGTTTAGGGTTTAGGGTTTAAGGCTTAAGGTTTAGGTTTTCGGGTCTAGGGTCTAGGGTTCAAGGTTTAGCGCTTGAGGAAAGAGGAGCATGCCTTAAACTATATAGAGATCGCAAGCACAAAAACCCTTAAACCTCAACTCTAAAGGCTAAACCCTAAATCCTAAATCCTAAGTCCTATACACTCTCAACCCTCAACCCTCAACCCTCAACCCTCAACCCTCAACCCTCAACCCTCAACCCTCAACCCTCAACCCTCAACCCTCAACCCTCAACCCTCAACCCTAAACCCTAAACCCTAAACCCTAAACCCTAAACCCTAAACCCTAAACCCTAAACCCTAAACCCCAGGTTAAAGGGGCATTGGGCTCCCTCGAGGCCTGGACGCACCAGCCCATGGAATGGCCATTGCATTTGCAGGCGAGTTTGGGGTTTAGGGTTTAGGGTTTAAGGTTGAGGGTTTAGGGTTTAGGGTTTAGGGTTTAGGGTTTAGGGTTTAGGGTTTAGGGTTTAGGGTTTAGGGTTTAGGGTTTAGGGTTTAGGGTTTAGGGTTTAGGGTTTAGGGTTTAGGAATACCCGAAACCCTCATCCCTAAACCCTGAAACTCGGAAATCCTAACAACCCGCGGCGAGACGCGTAAAGCCGCAAACAGCCCATGGCACGTCTAATTCCTCAACTATGACCCCCGAGCCGCCAAGGGTTTAGGGTTTAGGGTTTAGGGTTTAGGGTTTAGGGTTTAGGGTTTAGGGTTTAGGGTTTAGGGTTTAGGGTTTAGGGTTTAGGGTTTAGGGTTTAGGGTTTAGGGTTTAGGGTTTAGGGTTTAGGGTTTAGGGTTTAGGGTTTAGGGTTTAGGCTCGCCTAAGCCTAGAGCCACGCCAAGACCCTTCGGGCGGTGTCAGGGCGGCGGCGGAGTGGGCCGCCGGTGCCTTAAAGGATCTTTGCACCTCCGCAGGACTACCAAAATCAACGGGGGCTATGTTTGCTTTCGGGTTGAGGGTTGAGGGTTGGGGGTTGAGGGTTTAGGATTTATAGGGTTTAGGGCTTCGGGAGCAGCACTCCTGCTACAGTCTTATGGCTGTTGTGATAGCAGCCACGACGACAGCAACACCAACAACCGGCAGCCCACAAACACCGCCCCACAACCGAAAACCAAAAGCCAAGAAGAGTTAAATTTAGAGCTAAAGTTAGACTTTGAATGAGAATGGTCATGAGTAGTAGATTCATCACCTACTGTCAGTGTACTGCGACACGGGGTATATGCTAAGCACTGAAATAACCTGAACAAGAAACATACCAATGCGAAGCATTGTGTTTTGAGGAATTTGCCCCCTTACTCGTATATTTCGCTGCATGCTCACTCCTCGCTACTAGCGGTATTGATATTACCATACTGATGCCCAGAAGAACCAGAAGAATCAGAAGAATAAGAAAGAAGAAGAAGAACAATAAGAAGAATAAGAAAACCTTTCTGTAAAAGTACGAAGAAGGAGAATGAGAAGAACAAGAAGAATAAGAAGAATTAGAAGAATTAAGAACAATGAGAACAACAAGAACAACAATAACAACAAATCAACCTGGGTTGCTACTTGTTTTTTTCATCTTCTTATGTTTACGTTGGTTCTTACGTTTCAAACCCAAACCCTACACAAACCCTAAACCCTAATTTCCAAAACCCTAAACCTTGAGCCCTAAACCCTAGACCCCAAACCCAGCTTGAAGTTTGGAGTCCCGTGGTTTCAGTGAGGCCTCTGTAATACATTTCAGGTTCAGGGGTTAGGGTTTAGGGCTATTGCAGGCGTCGGAATAACTGCTCACATCGTCCCTATATGCGAAAATGATCCCACAAAACCCTGTTCTAATTATTAAGGCCCGTATGGTAGAGGGCTTGCCCTGGATCTGGGATGGCAACAGTGGAAACCATAAAGCGATCGGGTTTAGGGTTTAGGGTTTCGGAATTCGGGCATAGGGTTTAGGGTTTCGGGTCTAGGGTCTCGGGTTTAGGGTTTGGGGCTTAGGGCTTAGGGTTTAGGGTTTAGGGGTTCGGGTTGATGAGGAGTTGCTTTGATCGCTGGGTCCGCAGGGTCTAGAGGGTTGGTTTGTGGGTCTGTAGGGTTTGTGGGGGGTAAGCCTCCGACTACCCTAAACCCTAAACCCTTAAACCCTAAACCCTAAACCCTAAACCCTCAGCCCTAAAACCTACGGTATTCTTTGTCTGCCTATCCCGGCCTTGGAGGCCAGCGCGGTTACTCGCGAAGCTGATGTAGGGAAGTGGACGAGACCGCAGCACCCGAGGACCGCAGGGACGACAGCTTTCGGTTGACCTCCCGTGCTCTGAGGATTATAGAAGGTACTTGGAGGTTCATGGTACTTGTTCAAGAAATTATAACTGCACTTATAACCGACTTATAAGACTGTCATAAGTACAGTTTTAAGTACAGTTATAACTGGCTAAAAAGTACCACGAACCTCCAAGTAGGAGCGGGGGGACGGGGGGGGGGACGGGGTCGCTGTGGGGGTTTAGAGGTTTGGAGGTTTAAGGGTTCGGCTGAAGGTTCAGAAGCTTTGGGATTAGGGTTCTAGAGTAGTGCCTCCAAATTTAGGGGTTTGGGGGTTTCGGGGTTGAGGGTCGGGACAGGTAAGCCGTAGCCCATACCCCTGATTCAACTTGGAGGTTCACCGGACATGCTGCCTGCTTCTGAAATGAGGCTTTCATCCTACTTATTATAGTCCCCCCGAACTAGTCTTGCAAAAAACAACCCTGAACCCTAAGCCCTAACTCGCCTTCTAAGAGTAGTCGGACTCCTGGCACAGGGTTTAGTGAAGCGGCTCAGAGAGCATGAAATTCCCTAGTGGGCGTACTGTAGGGGTGTCTAGGGCTTTGGGTTTAGGGATTAAGAGCTGACTTTCAATCCCCTGGCCGGACTTGTATAGTTAGGTTGCAGCAATGGGTTTTGGGTTTTGGGCTTAGTCTTCCGGAGTGAGGGCTGCAATACTGGGATCTAGAAAGTTCCATGAACCTCCATGCAAGCCACAAGCAGCAAAGCCCAAGCTACCCTGGGCCTTAACCACCCGCAACCCAAAACAAGCAACAGACGGCTCTGTTTGGGCTGGGTCTTCGGTGTAGTCCGGAGTCAGGGACCCCAAGCCCTAAAACCCTTTTGCCTTAAACCCAAACAAATTTCCAACGAACACCCAATAACCCTAGATCCTACAACTCTAAACCCTAAACCCTAATCCCTAAACCCGCGACCGCACCTCGAAAACCTGGTAGCCAATCGTCTGGATCGCCTCCTCTCGCGGGATTTGCTTGCTGGGGAAGGTTCAGGGGTTCAGGGGTTCAGGGGTTCAGGGGTTTGGGGTTTTAGGGTTTAGGGTTTGGGGTTCGGGCAGGGTTTAGGGTTTAGGGTTTACTTAAGGGGTTTAGGGTTCAGGCTGTGGGGTTTGGGGTGCAGAGTTTCACCGTAACCTCTCAACCGAACCATGGACGTTAATCGTCAATCCCTCAAACACTATGGGGGCCCCACGCGAGCCCGAGCCGGAATTGATGGCTTAAATGTTTACGGCTTAAGACTGCATGGTTTAGGGTTTGGGCCTTGAGGGTTTGGGGCTTGAGTGAGGGCTTTAGGGTTTCAGGGGTTGTCGTTTTGGAGATTAAACATTCTTTGGGCTTCAGGATTCGAGCACGTTTTGTTGGGGGGTGTTGGGTCGGGCTTAGGGTTTAGGACTTAGGGTTTAGGGTTCAGGGTTTCGGGTTTAGGGAGGCGGGCGTGTCCTTGATGCGCTTGTTCTCATAGCCTGGGTCGCAAGTTCCCACTTGGATGCTCAGGACACTTGCTAACCTATGCTCAAGAGTATACAAAGGACTAAAGAGGGTTTAGGGTTCAGGGTACCCTAAGAGGTACCTAGGAATGAAAAGGGTGCCTTTTTGTTGAAAAGGACTTATAAGGGAACCTAAACACTAACAAAAGGGAACAAGGGCCGGCTCTGGGTCTTAGAAACTATAAACCGTAATGTTGGGCCCTCTTTTCTGTGTGGGGCCCCCCCCCCCCCCCCGAACAGTCGAGGCGTGGATGGGAGCCTGATTACACGGCCCCGGGGGCTTATATGATTTCAATAGGGAGGAGTTTAGATAGGTTTAAAAGGGGCAGCGATGCCCGGCTATCTTTTTTAAAGGCGCGCCACGTGGAATTTTCTTACGGCGCCCGGACGGTTTGACTTTAAAGAGGACCCCGCAAACAGTCAGGGGGTCCTGAATAATTCGGCCAAATTGACTTTAAAGAGGAGGCCCCTACTAAAGCGGGTCCAACATTACCACTTCAGAGGTTCAGAAGTAGGACAAGAGCATCAACCATAACTCGCAAGCCCCAGGAACCTTCACATGATCCGAAACCGCTTGACCCCCAACCCTACAACCTAAACACATCGAGTAGCTAAGGCTTCGGAGTTGGATGGTTCACCCAAAGCCCTGGACCACTAGAGCGTTTAGGGTTTAAGGATGAGGGATTTGGGTTCGGGTGTTTCCAGGTGTGTCACATGTTTCCTGCCCCACCGCCGCACGGGATTCGTGCTGCGGCGCGCTGGGGTATCAAAAATATGATTGCGAAAGCCGCTTGGTTCCTCAATGTGCCTCATGAGGACTTTTCAATTTCATGTTGCCAGCAAGGACATGCCATCTGTGCACACGTAACGCTTTGCTCTGTCATGTACTTCAGTTTGCCTTGATGCATAGAGAGCTCCCAATCTGCCACCTCGCGAATGTAAAGCCTGAAACAAGTAATTACCAGAAATATATCCCGATATACCCAGCATGAAATTATTATACTTAAAACGGCCCTCATGCACAATCCCTATAAAATCTCGATTCTCCATTATCCTAATTAAAGAGGCCCGTATAAATACTGGGTTTCACCACTGGCTTGGTGATATATTATACATCGTCGAGACTTTTGGGGAAGTTCACAGTTTGCGCCACATTAGGAGACCTCGGCAGACGCAGCACGGAGTTTGGCTGGCAAGTCTCAGGGTCTGAAAGCCCTGCTTCTCCGGCGTCGCTCAGGGATTTCAGAAGCACTGCCTTGGCAGGTTGCCTTGTTCGAACTGCGGCACGTCGCCGCATGGCCCCTGCGCAAGGATGTTTTCAGAGGATCATTCACACTATCCACCACGTACGTGGCCAAAGGAGATCTGGGCTCAAGGCCCAGGGTGCATCCCAAGATGTATGCCCTTCCACCGGGGCAATCGGTGGAGGTCTGCAGGCGCGACAGCAGCCGCGGGTCACAATGGAGCTCAAGAGGTGAGGTTGGACAAATACGCTTGAGGTCAAATCGCTGCCAGAACTGGTTGAAGGTCACACGGAACAACTGTTCGTGACGAAACTTATGGTCAAGATCTTGCATGAGTTCAGTAGAATATTAATCGCGAACCGTGAGCTCGAGAACAAGGCGCGTAACAATACTGCGAGCGCGTACCCGCCTGAATAAACGCACCATGAATCCGCTCTTGAAACCCTAACTCTTGGAATCGCCTGTTAAGGACTGTGATAATATAAGGAGTGAGCGCAAGGAACGATCGCACGATTATATTTTTAAAGCTGTGAACGAAATGAGGGGCGTGAACAAAAGACATATAATATGTGCCCCGACACCCTCTTCCTCTTTCCCCCTCTCTCCCTCTGCCCCGAACCTGTAAGCCCGACACGCGCGTCAAACGTATGGCCCCCATCCCTGGTAGGGTTAATGAGGAAGTTGAAAAAGTCAGTTAGGCAAACTCCTGACGGCACGCATCGTCCTTGAAAATAATCCGGATTCCAAAACACCAAGACCACATTCAACCCTAAACGCTGAACGGTCTAAACCCCTCTCTGGGTGCTGTCAAGCTCTAGTTTCAAGGTCTTCAACTAAAACGACTTGCGAATCAGCACCATGTACGCATTCCTACAAGAACGCCAAACTGCGAATGTGCAAAAAAGTGCCCAGGCCCTGACTGTCCGTAACTACATATACTATCAAACGAACATCAAGTCCCAACGCGCATCTCCTGCGCGTGCTTTGAGGTCAAGGGAGGGTTAGTGTGTCCATCACAGGATGCGGGGACTCAACTTGCGACGCCTCCTCTTGATGAGAATACCCAAAAAGTTCTTCGTGGCCCCCCTTCTGGCTCCCTGGCCCGCCCCTGACCCGCCATGGCCCGGGCCGCAAGGCAGGTCAGCCCTGGGAGCTCAAAAAACACCACCCCAAACCGCTTTTTTGACCCCTGACTTTTGGGCCCCCCTGGCCCCCGGCCCCCGGCCTCGCTTTTGCCCCGCTTTCCTCTCCCTAACCCGCCCTGGCCTGCCCCGCCCCCTCTTGGGCCCCCCCCCTCCCTACCCCCGCTTTTGTTGACCCTCTGTGCCTCCTTGTTTGGCCCCTGACCACCCACAGCCACGGCAACCTCCTACCCAACCGATCAAAGCCTCTCTCACCTCTCTCACCTCTCTCACTTCTCTCACCTCTCTCACCTCTCTCACCTCTCTCACCTCTCTCACCTCTCTCACCTCTCACCTCTCTCACCTCTCTCACCTCTTCTCCCACCTCTCCCACCTCTCCCACCTCTCCCACCTCTCCCACCTCTCCCACCCTCCCACCTTTCCCACCTCTCCCACCTTTCTCCCTCTCCCTCCTCCCTCTCTCCCTCTCTCCCTCTCTCTCTCCCTCTCTCCCTCTTTCCCTCTTTCCCTCTCTCCCTCTCTCCCTCTCTCTCTCTCCCTCTCCCCTCTCTCTCTCTCTCTCCCCCTCTCTCCTCTCCCTCTCTCCCTCTCTCCCTCTCTCCCTCGCTCCCTCGCTCCCTCTCTCCCTCTCTCCTCTCTCCCTCTCTCGCCCTCTCCCTCTCCTCTCCCCAAGCACGAAAAGCCCTGAATGGAATGTGGCTCAAGCGCTGCCGGCATGCAGTGACCTCGCCTCTCAGTCAGGCCCGGGTGTCAGTCGCTGGTTAGCCGAAATACGCCAGCGCATGTGGCCCCTAGCTGCAACCTGTAGGATGAGGTGTAGACTTCGGAAACGAATGGTTCCCAGGTTTGGCATCTTAAAGTGCCTTTAACCCTGGGCTGTTACGCGCAACAAGCAACGGCGTTGCAGCCATGCTGCCCCCAACATCAGTGACAACCTGCAAGTCAGAGCCGTGGTGTCCTTGCGTCACCAGGGGCGGATGGCAGTGGAAGCAACTTTTCCCAAAGTCTGCAGCGCGACCAAAGCACCGTCAGCAACCCGGAACTCGTCGCCGCTGCAAAGCTTGGCCACAGCCTCATTGCAGCCTTTTGGGCCCCGTTGAGCTTTCAGCGGCTTTAGGGGTTTCCCGGGCCTCCAGCATCTCTAAAAAGGTGAAGCGGGGGCCCGCAATAAAACTGCGCTTTCGTGTTCAGAGTCTCAGCCATCGAGGGCCGCCGAAGATTATTTTACCGAAAGACAACCCCCCCGCCCTGGCCAAAATAGGTCGCGCAAAGGTCACGAGGGCAGCGGTCAGCTTCGCTTCAGTCTAGGGTTTTAGGGATTTAGGGTTTCGGGGTTGGTTTTATTTTTCTGGTTCGGGGCTTCGGCCATTGAAGGGCTGGGCCTCGGGTGTTTCTACTCAGCACCTACACCCGACCTGGACCTGAACGAACCTCCGCGTGCACACACACACACACACAAAAAAAAAAGATAACAATGTATTGGTTATGGGTTTAGACGGTTGAGGGTTTGTGGGGCCGGCTTGCGGGCCCCTAAGCCTCACGTCTTCCTGCAGCCTTGCCGCTCATCTTGGCAATCTGCAAACTCTTTGCCTGAGCGACCAAGGCCCTGTGCCCCAAAAAGCCTGAAGCCCCAAAACCTTTCAACTCCAAAACGCTTAGACCCTGAAAACGCCTCAATCTCTGAACCCCCAAAGAACCTTTACATCCCCAAAAGCCCCAAAACCCAGAACGTCTAGACGCTTCTACCCGAAACCCCAACTCCGTAATAGCTTGAAGCCTCAAAAAGTTGAACCCGAAGGCTCCATGAAGCTCCAAACAGAGGTACCCTGGGTCTGCGTAGGGTATAACCGGGGTATATAAGGCCTCAACTAAGAACCCCTAAACCCTAAACCCTAAACCCTAAACCCTAAACCCTAAACCCTAAACCCTAAGGATTCTATATAACCCAAAAAGGCTAAAGGTTACCTACTCCCAACTAAGGACCCCCTGTAGCTACTCTAAGAATGATGCAACGCTGGCGGTGTCCTCTGGATCGGCCCTAACCTAGGAATAGCACGGGTGCCTTTTTTTCTGGCTTAAAGGGGCTGACAGGTTTAGGGTTTAGGGTTTAGGGTTTACATACAGGGAACTAGGGCCTAGCCTGGGTCCTAGTTTAGAATCAGAGGGGCCTCGGCTTCAATTTCTGGCCACGTGGACCAAAAAGAAATTGCCCAGGGCCCGGCACCCCAAAAACCCTTAACGCAAGCCCCAATCCCTTAAGCCTAAACCCTCACACCCCTAAACCCTGAAACCCCTTAAGCCCCGAAAGCCTAAAACCCTAAACCCTTCATTAAACCCTAAACCGCCTAAAGCCCTAAACGCTAAACCCCTCTAAAACCTAAAAACTCTCAGGCCCCCCTTAAACCCCAATAAACCCTGAAATCCCCACCCCCCCTTCCATCCCCCCCAAAGCAAGCCCCGATCCCCAACCCCTAAAACCCGAAACCCTTAAACCCGACAAACCCTAAACCCTAAACCCCAAACCAACCCTACACCAAAACCCCTGGACCCTGAAACCCCCTAAGCCTAAAAACCCTAAACCCTAAACCCCAAACACCAAACCCTACTAAACCCTAAACCCTAAACCCTAAACCCTAAACCCTAAACCCCAAACCCTAAACCCTAAACCCTAAACCCCCTTAAACCCCCTAAATCCCCCCTCCTGAGCCCCCCCTTAGAGCAGCCCCGGCGCCGGCCCGTGGAGCTGCATGCACCCGGACACGAACTCCTGCCCGGGGTCTAGGGTTTAGGGTTTAGGGTTTGGGGTTTGGGGTTTAGGGTTTAGGGTTTAGGGTTTAGGGTTTAGGGTTTAGGGTTTAGGGTTTAGGGTTTAGGGTTTAGGGTTTAGGGTTTAGGGTTTAGGGTTTAGGGTTTAGGGTTTAGGGTTTAGGGTTCAGCAGGCAGGGGGCCCCTCAGTATACTCTACTAAAACGACAAGCGCCGGCTCAAAGAAAGTACAGTGCTGTTTCGTTGCGCGCAGGGGGGGGGGTCCCCTAAACGCATGCACGCACGACCGCAAACCCTCAAAACCCTGGAAAGCCCCCTACGCGGCATGCTCTCCTCCAAGTCCACAGCGCCGCTGTTGTCCTCAGTGGCTTTCTAGGGGTTCAGGTTTTAGGGTTTGGGGTTCGGGTTTAGGGTTTCGGATTTAGGGTTCGGCCTTTGGGGTTTTGGGGTTTTGGGGGCTTAAGGGGTTTAAGGGACTGAAGGGGTTTTAGAGGTTTCAAGGGGTTCTAAGGGGTGTTTAGTGGGGCTTAAGGGGGTTTACGGGGTGTGTAAATGCTTGAGGGGTTTCAGGCGTTTAGGGTTCAGGGCTGAGGGTTTAGGGGTGTAGGATTGAACTTGATTCGTTTAGAGGGTTGTATGGTACCTGACTAAACCCTAAACCCTAAACCCTAAACCCTAAACCCTAATCTCTAAACCCTAAACCCGAAACCCGAAACCCTAAACCCCAAACCCTAAACCCTTAACCCTTAACCCTAACCCCTCCCTTCACGCCAAAAAAAAGGAAGAAGATTGCTCCACGCCGCGTCCGAGAGTCAGTGTCGATGAGTGTGAAGAGTGTTTTCACGTCCTCTGCCGAGATGTCTAAGGCCTCTGGGCGCATGCTTGGCTTCGGTTTAGGGTTTAGGGTTAAGGGGGTTTAGAGGTTAGGGTTTGGGGGTTCGCGGCCTAACTCCGGAACCCAAGAGTTTAGAGTTTTAGGGTTTAGGGTTTAGGGTTTAGAGTTTTAGGGTTTAGGTTTGGGGTTGAGGGATTTTCGGGTCTATACTCGTTTTGGGAGGTCCTCGGCAGTTGTGCGACCCCAGACGAAACACGAAGCCGGCAGCGCGACAATAGGGCCCCAATATAGACCCCCAAATAGTAGGATTCCCTTACAATAAGGACCCCCAAGAAAGTACCCCTAATTTCGGGCACCCTCCTCATTTCGCGCACGGGGATAAGGTTTAGGTGTTTTAGGTGTTTTAGGTGTTTTAGGGGTTTAGGGGCTTTAGGGGCTTTAGGGGGGTTAGGGGGTTTAGGGGTTTAGGGGTTTCGGGTTTGGCGTTAGGATTTAGGGTTTAGGGTTTAGGGTTGAGGGTTGAGGGTTGAGGGTTGAGGGTTTAGACTTGATGGTTCAGGGTTTTGGGCTTCGGGTTTGCCGTCTTCGCACTGGGGGGGGGGGGGGGGGGGGGGGGGGGGGATGTGGCAGTAGGCCCGCACGATCTTGAGGGCCCCGAAGAGCAGCCCAACAACAATGGGGCGCCGACTGTTAGGATTTAGGGTTTAGGGTTTAGGGTGCAGGGTTGAGGGCTTAGGGCTTCTACAAAACTAGAACTACATTCAAGAAAGCAGCACCAAACCATGACAGAAAAATATCTTCAACCCCTGAAACTCGTTCATGTAAACTCAACAGATGGAAACTCAAGAAAGCTACTGCAAATTCCACAACAACTTCCTACATCCTGATCCTAAACCCTGAACCCTAAACCCTAAACCCTGAACCCCCCAAACCCTAAACCCTAAACCCTAAACCCTAAACCCTAAACCCTAAACCCTGAACCCTAAACCCTAAACCCTAAACCCTAAACCCTAAACCCTAAACCCTAAACCCTAAACCCTAAACCCTAAACCCTAGCCCTAAACCCTAAACCCTAAAGGAGCTCGCGGCCTCCATGCAGGCGCCGAGGCGGTCCAGGGAGGCGGCCTTCTCGATGTCCTGCATGCGGACCTGGGGTTTAGGGTTTAGGGTTTAGGGTTTAGGGTTTAGGGTTTAGGGTTTTAGGGTTTAGGGTTTAGGGTTTAGGGTTTAGGGTTTAGGGGTTTAGGGGTTTAGGGGTTTAGGGGTTTAGGGGTTTAGGGGTTTAGGGGTTGGGGTTTGGGGTTTAGGGTTTAGGGATAGGGTTTAGGGCAGGAGTCATTCCCCTGTAGTTCGAGGCTCAAAGCTTGCCAACAACATCTTGCAGGCAGGCCTGTCGAGATCTACAACGGTGCTTCAAAAAAAATGGGGTGGTTTAGGGTTTAGGGTTTCGGGTTTAGGGTTAGGGTTTAGGGTTAGAGTTTAGGGTTTAGCGCAGGCTCATGGTAGCTACTCCTGGTTCTTACATTTTCTTGTGGGGGGGGGGGGGCTTTTAATTTTCACAACCCTAAACCCTACACCTTAAACACGTCTGCTAACGGGTCAACCCTTTGAACCCTGAACCCTCCAGGATTTCACGCCGCGGAATTGTTGTGAGGTACTTATGGGTCATATTGGAGCTATATAGAACATGGAAGGCTTCTTTGGTTGGTTTAGGGCTTAGGGCTAGGGCTTAGGGTTTAGGGCTTGGGGTTGAAGGCCTCAACCCTACACCTTCATTTTTAGTTTGGGTGTAGGGCTCAGGGTTTTGGGGGTGTAATCCCTGCCTCATTTGTCTGGCCCTCGTCGATCTCCTTGCGAGGCAGGCTTCTCAAGGTCTAGGGCTCAGAAGCACCAGGCCCCTAAAGGATTTAGGGTTGAGGGTTCAGGGTTCAGGGTTCAGCCCTAGGCCCTGAACCTCAACAGGGCCCCATCCCGAATTCCCTGAACCCTAATCGGCTGGCCCTGAAAACCTCTGCAAAATTCCTACAGGTCCAACACGGGGAGTGATAATACATCTCCAAATACCTTCCTCTTAAAAACTCTCTGACGCGTTTTCCCCCTGAACTCTAAACTATGTATGATCTTCCCAAGCCAAAAAAAAAACAAGCATGCCTTGCCAGCCGAGGATAAACAAGCCTCAGCCCTGACCACCAAATCCCCTATTGTTAGGGTTTAGAGATCCAGGGTTTAGGGTCCAAGGTTAGGGTCTGGGCAGGGGTCACGGCTTCGGGTCAGGGGATTTTGAGACCCACCCACCCCGCAACCCACCCTCTAAGGGTAGTTTGATGGGCCCTGAATATGGGACCCCTTATTGACCCCGTTTATACCCAAAGCAAATTTATAGGGTGTATATATACATATATATATATATACAAATTAAGGGCCCTTACATCAGAACGCACTAAACCCTAAACCCTGAACCCTGAACCCTAAACCCTAAACCCTAAACCCTAAACCCTAAACCCTAAACCCTAAACCCTAAACCCTAAACCCTAAACCCGATCCGGCCTCGAAAGCTTGCTGGAGTTCCTTCATCTGCTCCGTCCGCCTCTGCAAGGCCTGGCTCAGGGTTTCGGAAGCAGGGCTTAGGGGTTAGGCTGCAACCTAAACCCTAAACCCTAAACCCTGAACCCTAAACCCTGAACCCTAAACCCTAAACCCTAAACGCTAAACCCTCAACCCTAAACCCCAAACCCTAAACCCTCAACCTTCAACCCTAAACCCAACCCTAAACCCTGAACCCCCCAAGTGCCACCCCCCGGTGTTTCGAGGTGGGAGCCCTCCCGGGGCCTTCAGGGACGCGATGTCCTTGTCCGCGCTGGCGCGCTCGATGGCCGTATTCACGAAGACGCCTTTGGCCGCAGCCGTCATGGGCCCGCAGGTCGAACAAAGGGTTTAGGGTTTAGGGTTTAGGGTTTAGGGTTTAGGGTTTAGGGCTTAGGGCTTAGGGCTTAGGGTTTGGGGGTTAGGGCTTAGGGTTTAGGGGTTAGGGCTGGGGTTCAGCGTTTAAGGCTCAAGCTATATATATATATATATATATAATTACTTCGTACGTATCGCCAAAAGACGCAGGCTCAGCTACGAGGAATCTACAGGGATACCTATAGGGATCAGAAATCTCCACGGCTATGGGGAGCTCACATGAACCTCCAAGTAACCACCAAACACTCTAAAACCACCAGGTGGTTTAGGGTTTAGGTTTTAGGGTTGACCCTAAACCCTAAACCCCCTCAAGCCAGCATTAAAACACCTCTGCCACTTGTAGGTTGAACAAGGTGCCCGTGACCACGTTCAGGATCGTGAACACGCCTTGCTCCAGGTTTGTCACAAGAAGCTCAAACAGGGCTTCTTTATCTCAAGCCCTGAGTCGTATAGGACAGGGCCTAGGGTTTAGGAGTTCGAGTTTAGGGTTTAGGGTTACCCCAAACAAGAAAGTATAACAGGACCCCTCACACCTCAACAACACTCCACATCAAGGGTTGCTACAAACCACTCGCAGAAGCCGCCTTTTTCAAATCACTAGCAGCAGAGGGTGTTCAAAAACCCTGGCAGAAGAGGGAAAACACCCAACTCTTAGGGCCTCTAACAAGGATGGCCCTCTAAAACCCTCTGAGAAATCTTCTTAAGCATGATCCTCTTAACACCAATCAAGGGAACATATAAGCCCTAAACCCCAAACCCCAAACCCTAAACCCTAAACCCTAAACCCAAATAACCTACCGAGCTGATGTATGGACCCCAGCTGCTGATGATGATGTAGAAGATCAGGACGCCCACAGCCAGCAAGGAGACCTGGCGAGTAGCCGAGCATCAAACTTAACAAGTGGTCCGCTGGGGTTTCAAAAGGCTTTTATAGGGTTTTGGAAGGTTTTGATGAGTTTTTTCGGGGTTTTATAGGGTTTTATGGGGTTATATAGGTTGTCATAAGGTTTTATACGGTTTTATAGGGTTTGATACAGTTTTACAGGGTTTTGTACGGTTTTTACAGCGTTTTACAGGGTTTCATGCAAGGTTTATGGTTTAGAGGGCTTAGAGAGATTTATAGGGCTTCTAGGATTTGCAGGGTTTACGGTGCTTTGAGGGTTTATAGGCTTGATAGGGTTTGCACAGTTTATGGGGGTCTACGGGGTCGTCTATAGGGTCTATAGAGTTTGTCGGGTTTTCATAGGCTTTCTAGGGCTTATCGGGTTTATAGGGTCTAGCGTTCTGGGCGTACCTGCTTCTGGAAGCTTCTGACGGTTGGTCGCGCAATTTCTTGGGTGACCTCCACGCTCTCCTACAAAAGGATGCCCCCGCACGGTCACAAAGCCGGTTGCTGTAAGGGGGCCTCTCCAAGGCTCCGAGGGTTTCTAATTCCATGGTCCAGGCTTTAGGGTTTAGGGTTTAGGGTTTAGGGTTTAGGGTTTAGGGTTTAGGGTTTAGGGTTTAGGGTTTAGGGTTTAGGGTTTAGGGTTTAGGGTTTAGAGCTTAGGGTTTAGGGTTTAGGGTTTAGGGTTTCGGGGTTAGCTAGACCCTAGACCCTAGACCCTAAGACCTCAGCCTAATCCCTAAATCCCAAACTCCAGGCCCCAAACGCTAAACCCCAAACCCCAACCCAAACAGACCCTAAACCCCAAACCCCAAACCCCAAACGCTAAACCCCAAACTCCAGACCCCAAACCCCAAACCCCAAACCCCAAACCCCAAACCCCAAACCCCAAACCCCAAACCCCAAACCCCAAACCCCAAACCCCAAACCCCAAACCCCCAACCCCAAACCCCAAAACCCAAACCCCAAACCCCAAACCCCAAACCCTACCCGGGGCGGCCTGCCGCAGCGGATTCAGCGCCACCTCCCAGGAGATGCCATCCGTGATGCAGTAGAGGAGCGTCAGCATGCTCTCCTTAGGGTTTCGGGTTTAGGGTTTAGGGTTTAGGGTTTAGGGTTTAGGGTTTAGGGTTTAGGGTTTAGGGTTTAGGGCTAAGGGTTTAGGGTTTAGGGTTTGGGGTTTAGGGTTTAGGGCTTAGGGTTTCAGGGTTTAGGGTTCAGGGTTTCGGGTTTAGGGCTTAACTAAGGACCGAGCGCATTGAACCCCAACACCCCCCCCCCCCAAAAAAAAAAAAAACTTTCGCGCAGCGGTCCAAGCGTCGAGAACCGAAGGCCAGTGCAAATGCAGCTCGTCTGGGCACTCGGGCGTCGCGTTGGTGTCACTGCCTCATTTGGGTGCCAAGCCCATGCCCCTAAAGCCCGAAACCCTAAAACCCCTAAAACCCCTAAATCACCAGACCCTAAAAACCTAAATCCCAAAAATCCAAGCCCCTAAACCCCAAAAACCCTTCAATCCAAAAATCAAACCCCATAAACCCTAAACCCTATAAGCCCTAAAACCCCCTCAAAAACCTCCAGAACCCCATTCTAGACTGATCTTGGAACCTCAGCTGTTTCTTAAGTACCCAAATATGAAAAGTTTATTTCCAAGTATCCCTAAGTATTATCAACCCCCCAGTCGTGCCCTTCAAACCAGAAAACCAACCCTATAGGCCCCAAACCCTACAACCCCCCCCCAAAAAGCCCTTAAAACCCTCAAAGCCCCGTTATCAACCGCCTTGAAACCCCATTATTAAGCCCTAAAACCCCTCAAAACCCTCCAAACCCCAATTCTCATCCCCCTTGAAACCCCCATGATAAAGCCCTAGAACCCCTTAAACCCTCAAAACCCCGTTATCAACCCCCTTGAAACCCCATTATTAAGCCCTAGAACCCTCAAAAACCCTCAAAAACCCTCAAAAACCCTCAAAAAACCCTCAAAAACCCTCAAAAACCCTCAAAAACCCTCAAAAACCCTCAAAAACCCTCAAAAACCCTCAAAAACCCTCAAAAACCCTCAAAAACACTCAAAAACCCTCAAAAACCCTCAAAAACCCTCAAAAACCCTCAAAAACCCTCAAAAACCCTCAAAAACCCTCAAAAACCCTCAAACCCCAATTCTCAACCTCCGTCGAGTGGCGGCTCACCACCGCAAGGTACCGGCAGTAGTCGGAGACCATCTGCATGATGATCACCGAGAAGCCTCGATCTGGATTACGTAGATTTGGGGTGTAGGGTTTAGGGTTTAGGGTTTAGGGTTTAGGGCTTAGGGCTTAGGGTTTAGGGTTTAGGGTTTAGGGTTTAGGGTTTAGGGTTTAGGGCTTAGGGTTTAGGGTTTAGGGTTTAGGGCTTAGGGTTTAGGGTTTAGGGTTTAGGGTTTAGGGCTTAGGGTTTAGGGTTTAGGGTTTAGGGTTTAAAGGCATTTAGGGTTTAGGGTTTAGGCTTTAGGGTCTAGGGTTTAAAGGCATTTAGGGGGTTTAGGGTTTAGGCTTTAGGGTTTAGGGCGTTTTCTTGGGGCGGTGGCAAGGTCCCTTGGTATGGGCCCTTAATTGGGGCCCCTTACATACCCAATAAGACCCCCAAATTCCGGGGCCCATACTTCAGAACCCTTGCAAGACGTGCAGCTTCCCTTGCGCCTAGGGCTTAAGGCACTCTAAAGCGCTGCGCCCAAATCCCAAACTCGAAATTTAGGGTTTGGGGTCTTAAGTTTTGGGTTTGGACCCTGTTCCTTGTAGAGCATGAGGGAACTAGCTATCGCACAGTATCGCATAAATAAGGTATACCAAGCTGGAATATCGGGTTACTATGGCTTTCTGGGAAGCCCTCCTCCCCCGCTTGCGTGTAGGCTTCTGATCCGCAAGAACGGGCCCGCAACAGGTCTCCTCAAAATGCACCTGCGGGGGGTTCAGGATTTAGTGTGGATACTCCTAAACCCTAAACCCCAAACCCTAAACCCCAAACCCCAAACCCCAAACCCCAAACCCCAAACCCTAAACCCTAAACCCCAAACCCCAAACCCTAAACCCTAAACCCTAAACCCTAAGCCATATCCCCGGAGCCTGAAGCATCCTAAGTCCGAAGTGCCATTCTCTTAAACCCCTCAAACCCCTCAAACCCCTAAACCCCAAACCCTAAACCCGAAACCCTAAACCCCAAACCCTAAACCCTAAACCCTAGCCCTAAACCCTAAACCCTAAACCCTAAACCCTAAAACCTGGACGGCCTTAACCCCCAAACACCCAAACCCCCAGCAAGAGCGGCTGTAGAAAAGGATGAAGAGGAGCACCAAGGTCCAGAGGAGGGAGCTCCTGGTCGGTTGGGGTTTAGGGTTTAGGGTTTGGGTTATTGGGGTTTGGGGTTTGGGGTTTAGGGTTGAAGGTTGAGGGTTTAGGGTTTAGGGCTTAGGGTTTAGGGTTAGGGCTTAGGGCTTAGGGCTTGGGGCTTGGGGCTTGGGGCTTAGGGTTTAGGTTTTAGGGTTTAGGATTTAGGGTTTCCTGATGCTCCTTTGACCATCGGGACAAAAGCGTTCCCCTAAACAGCTACAGCAGATGTCGAAGAAGAACGAAATTGAAGAAAGAAAAGAGCAAGAAGAAGAACACTGATAGTAGGCTATAAATGAAATAATCCAGACCCAGGAGTAACCTAGGAATAAAGAACCCTTTTCGGGGCTGAAAAGGGAACCAAGCCTTGAACAAAAAATGAATAGGGGCCTGCTCTGGACTGCCCCCCGAAACCCTAAACCCTAAACCCTAAACCCTAAACCCTAAACCCTAAACCCAAAACCCTAAACCCTAGACCCTGAACCCTGAACCCTAAACCCTAAACCCTACTACACCCATGATACGTCTGCCACATACGAAGCCGAGGCACATGGTGCTGATGATGGAAAGGATCAGGGCCCTGCGCAAGGGCGCGAGTTCCCTAAACCCAAAACCCTAAACCCAAAGGGCTAACCGCTAAACGCCACACCCTCAACCCTTTGAAAATTTGGAGCTTGCGGAGGTCCAGGCTTTATTGGCCTTACTTGTAGAGTTTAGGGTTTAGGGTTTACGGTTTAGAGCTTAGGGCCTACTGGTCTGGTCTACAGGATTGGGATTTTCTTTTGGAGCGTCGCCAGGAGCTGAAAAGTAAGGTTTGGGCCTTGGGCTTAGGATTTAGGGTTCAGGGTTCAGGTGTAGGGTTTAGAGTTTAGGGTTTTATGAACCTCTGAAACACCTGAAGCCCCTGAATACGAAACCGCCTCAAAGCGCTGAAATACCGGATCATCCGGAAGAAGCGCAGCCCACGGAGCGCCTCTCGGGGACTGTGGTTTGGGGTTTAGGGTTAAGGTTTTAGGGGTTTTAGGGGCTTCAGGGGTTTTAGGGGTTTTAGGGGCTTTAGAGGTTTTAGGGGTTTTAGGGGTTTTAGGGGCTTTAGGGGCTTTAGGGGTTTTAGGGGTTTTAGGGGTTTTAGGGGTTTTAGGGGTTTTAGGGGTTTTAGGGGTTTTAGGGGTTTTAGGGGTTTTAGGGGTTTTAGGGGTTTTAGGGGTTTTGGGGGTTTTAGGGGTTTTAGGGGTTTTAGGGGTTTTAGGGGTTTTAGGGGCTTAGGGGTTTAGGGTTTTAGGGGTTTAGGGGTTTGGGTTTAGGGGTTTGGGGGTCTCGGGGTTGAGGGGTTTAGCGTTTATGTAGGCTAACTTCAGCTGGCGCGTGGTGTCCATCCCGTCCCCCCTCCTGCCCGAACCCCACCCCAGGCTCCTTACCGAAGGAATGGGGCCTGTGGTCCGGGGGGCTGCTTACGAACTCGGGCATACCATTCATGGGGCATTGGGCTGCCCTAGACCCTAGACCCTAGACCCTAGACCCTAGACCCTAGACCCTGAACCCTAAACCCCAAACCCTAAACCCTAAACCCTAAACCCTAAACCCTAAACCCTAAACCCTAAACCCTAAACCCTACCACACAAAGGAGCCGAGGATGTCCGAACTTTCGGAGGCCCAAGGCACCCGAGCCAGCCGAAGCGTGCGCATGAAGGACCAGGTGTCGGCTCCCCACCTTGGGCTTTTGGGGGTGTAAGGTTTAGGGTTTAGGGTCTAGGGTTTAGGATTTAGGGTTTAGGGTTTAGGGTTTAGGGTTTAGGGTTTAGGGTTTAGGGTTTAGGGTTTAAGGTTTTCGGGTTTAGGGTTTAGGGTTTAGGGTTTAGGGTTTGGGGTTTAGGGCTTAGGGTTTAGGGTTTGGGGTTTGGGGTTTGGGGTTTAGGGTCTCCCTGAACCTTAGAAGAGCTTATCTTTTTGACACTCTTAAAGCTCAGTTCGCTAAATTATGGCCTCTGTTGGGGTTGAAGGGTTTTCGGCTCTTCAGCCTTTTGGGAGACCCTAGAGATAAGAGGGTTTTTAGGCTTGGGCATAAGGCACTTCTAGAAGGGTGCCTTGCTGTGGGGCCAAGAAGAGGTTTAGGGTTTAGGGTTTAGGGTTGAGGGTTTAGGGTTTAGGGTTTAGGGCTTAGGGTTTAGGGTTTAGGGTTTGGGGTTCAGGGTTTTATTGTTTAGGGTTTGGGGTTCAGGGTTTAGGGTTTAAAGTTTAGGGTTTAGGGTTTAGGGTTTAGGGTTTAGGGTTTAGGGTTTGGGGTTTGGGGTTTGGGGTTTGGGGTTTGGGGTTTGGGGGTGGAACATCTCATGAAGCTGAAATCTCAAGGTCCAGGCCGAAGTTTCAGTAGCTTCTGTTCTCAGGGAGAACGGTTAAGGGTTTAGGGGCTAGGGTTCAGGGTTGAGGGTTTAAACCCTAAAAGACTAAACCCTTAACCCTTCACCCTAAAACCCTAAACCCCTCAACCCTACACTCTGAACCTTTAAACCCAAAACCTCTAAAAGACAGCGACCGGAGAACCCTGCCCAAGTTGTTTGAGCCCCACCAGGGACTCTGCGTGAGTGGACCACGACTGGGAGCTTTAACGCAACCCTTTGGGAACCCCGTTTTGCAGAGACGGATTGGAACCCCAAACCCTAAACCCTAAACCCTAAACCCCTATAAACATAGCCCAACAAGATAAAAAGAAAGAAAACAAAAAAAAAAAACGAAAGCCCTCAACCCTAACTCACCTCAAGCTCTCGCTGAAAAGAGCCACTACCCTGAACCCTAAACCCTCAAGCCCCCGTAACTTGAAATTATTCTAGAAAAAAAAAGCTCCTCGAAACTTTCCTTGAAACTTTTCTCGGAACTCCTTGAAACTCGAAACTTCCCCGGACCTGAAGCCTTAATAATTTCAATAAACCCTACACTCTAAACCCCTATACCCCTGAACCCCTAGACCCCTAAACTCCTGAGCTCGTAAACCCTGAACCCTAAACCCTAAACCCTAAACCCTAACCCTAAACCCTAAACCCTAAACCCTAAACCCTGAACCCTAAACCCTAAACCCCGCACCCACCCAAAGGCTCTCAATGAAAGACCCAGGGCGCAGGTTCGAGGCCACTGTGGTGGCGAAGAGGTCGATCAGCACCTCCAGGTTTAGGGCTTAGGGTTTAGGGTTTAGGGTTTAGGGCTTAGGGTTTAGGGTTTGAGGGTTCAGGGTCCAGGGTTCAAGGATTCAGGGCGTAGGGTTTGGGGTTCAGGGTTTAGGGTTTAGGGTCCTGAGAACCCCAATTGTAACTGTACTTATCCGCCGACCCCAGCCGGAGCGGGGGCGGCGCCAGTGAAGACCCATCGCCTGGCCCCATGCCCCTCGACCCCCCATGGCCCCATGGACCCATGGCTCCTGGCCGCTCTTCGCCCATGGCTCTCATGGCCTCATGCCTACCATGGCCCCATGCCCCTCGACCCCCATGCCCCCCTATGGACCCATGGCTCCTGGCCCATGGTCGCATAGCTCTTTGAGCTTTTTTTAAAGGGTCCCAGCACATGCCCGCCCCCTCCACTCCTCCCGCCCGCCCACCCTGCCCATGCGGCCCCATGCCCCTCGACCCGCATGGCCCCTATGGACCCATGGCTTTTGGCCCCATGGTCGCATGGCTTGCCCTCCATGGACCGATGGCTCCTGACCCCATGCTTGCATCGCCCCATGGCCCATGGCTGCTGGCCCCATGGGCTGACTTCAAAAGGGCTGCCCTCGCTCTTCCGCTCCACCCCCCCATGGCTCCTATGGACCCATGGCTCCTGGCCCCAGCTCTTTTCGGTTGACTTTGAAGGCGCACGCTCCGCCCCTGCGCTTTCCCACCCGCCCACCCCACCCATGCCCCTCAACCCCATGGCCCCTATGGACCCATGCCTCCTGGCCCCATGCCATGGTCGCATAGCTTGCTGACTTTAAAGGGTCCCAGTACATGCCCGCCCGCTCCGCTCCCGCCCGCCCACCCCGCCTATGGCCCCATGCCCCTCGACCCCCATGGCCCCCATGGACCCTGGCTCCTGGCACTGCCCCCTTCACTGGCCCTTTTGGGGGTCGGCAGCACTGGCGGTAGCCATTAAATAGACGCGGCTCGCTTGGCTGTTAGTTGCAGACCTGTCTGGTGGGTAGTCACTACGCTGGACATGCAAATTCCAAACCATGCGGTCCCTGATCCTGCCTATCAAGTTCATGCCACGCAGCCTCAACGCAACAAGGGCTGGTTTGCAAAAGACTGGACGTCCAAAAACCTCATGCCTGGCGTGCTGTTGCAAAACCAGGTAGGGTCCAGCCACCCCTCAAAACCTTCACGGTAGTCTAGCATCATCGGCCCAAACGCTATGCTGCTGACATTGGGACGCTCAACCACAAGCATGAAAGGGACGCCTAGTTTACCAAGCTCTCAGCCCTTGAATTGCGTTCGCAGAAGATTCCGATGAATCCCAAACAGGGACATCACGAAGTCTTCAATTTTCACGTGATGCAAAATGATGCAAATCCAGCAGAAGTCTGTAATTGCAACCTTTTCGGCCGTCAGCAGTGATCGTCCGGCATTCGGTACACCTTTCAAATGAAGCACTGTCAGAGCTGCGGAATTTTGGTCCCGCTCACAAACGGGGATCAACAGACGTTGTTCATCTGCGGGTCTTGCGTCCATTCCGGTCTTGTGCGCCAAGTTCCGGCATCAAAGTTCCCCTCACCTAGCTGAATCCTACCTGCAGGCTACAGAACCTTGTATTCTGTGCCATGTACGACAAACGTATAGAGGGTTTCTAGAGTACAGGCAGGCAAGTTGACCCTGCCAGCAGGAAGAATTGGAAAAATTCAACCTCTCATCATTGGAGGCTCCTTCGGTGAGAAGCTTGCCTCACCTGGGGGAGCCTTCTGCTGCAGCACACCGACAAAGGCCTCAAGATGGTCGTGGCAAGCAGGGATCACAAATGGGAGCTTTGCCGCAAAAAGCCTGAGGATCTAGGCTCTCCATTTTTTGTGGGGGGTCAGGTCATTGCAAGATTTGGAAGGGATCTTATGCGATTTGCCATGTGATGGGCGCAACATCTACGTGAGCGCGAAGCTGAGAAGCAGGCACACCAGCGGAGGGCCTTCGTCAATGTCTTTTGCGGATCACCCTCCTAACCTGGCACCATTGTAATTTCGACATGAACTGCCAACAGTCTCAGGCCCCGCCTCCGCTAGCCATGCCCCTCTCTCCCTCCCCTCCCGTTTTCAGGTTGGTTCCGCCCATGCAAACAACCTAGATTATACTTGCTGCAGGGGCCGCACATTTGCGCAGAACCAGACCGGCAACAAACTGGATGCCCAGCACCGAGGCGACACTGCGCCGTTGGCCCTTAGAATTACCAGAACACTGATGATACCCAGGACTCTGCGCTGGGTATCTCGAGGGCAAGAATTTCATACCTGCATGGCTGATCAAGCCTAAGACTTAAAGGCCTGCAAAATGCAAACATCACACGGGAGCATCCTGCACTTCTGCAAAGCGTAATTTAATCCGATCCACTCGTATCCTCAGCTTCCCTTCCTCTACAATATGAGGGCCTGGCGGCCCCAAATGTTGATTGATGTTCTCGACGCATCCCAGCAGCTCTAAGAAAAGTTCATGGTCCAACTTGGCAGCACTGACAAGTCTCACTCATCCGTTATTTGCACTACGAAATGTCAAAACCAAACCTGACCTTATGAAACTCCCGAAGCTCTACCACCAGCCCGCGCTCGACCCGTCGTGCTTCTGGCCTTTGGTATCCACTTCATGCGTCACCGAACAAAAGAAAATGGATGGCCTGCAGCACGCAGCACTTGGCAATGCAAAGCTTGAGTTCTACGGGATATGAAAGAAGGCCTGGCCTGTTGTGTTCGTTTGTTATAATTGCTATGAAGGGCATTTGGACCAGAGTCTGTGATCAGAGCTTCAATCAGCCTTCCCCACCCCAGCCCGGGCCCTCAGCTGCCTTCTGGAACCTGTCCAGTCTTTTCATTCATGGATGCACCCTCAATCCTGACCAACGTAAAACCAATGCTCTACCTCTGCTCGGAGCTCTGTTAAGCTGGGATGCCACGCCATGCCGAATTCTTGGTCTGTATCGGCCAAGACTTATGACCGCAAATAGACATGTCACCCCGTAAGGCATGCCATTCAGCTAAGCAGCTGGAGATCACAGGAGATTGTGGCTAAGGGAATTAGGAAGCACGGCCGATATGCATAAACCAGCTTCTGGAATCCCTTCCACATTCGGGGCCTAAGGCCGGAGAATGACAACAAGCTACAGCATTCTTCTGCGACCGGAGCTTGGAGTTTCATGATTTGTGCTACGTGGCCAGACATCTTCAGGTTCATTTTGCCTAGTTTACATGGGAGTAGGCGAACTCTTCTTCATGATCTGCCTATAGATCTGCCTGTAAAATCAATACCATTTGTCTTGGCACAACCTGTCGGCAGCATGTCAGCTAAACGTGGTGTAGAAAACGAAGAACCGTCCTCGCATTCAAGGTTGGAGATGTTGAAGGACCGATCGCCGAAGCCCATACCAGCAAGTAGTTCAAGCCTTGCAGACTGAGATAGATATGAGTTTTGGGTTTGGGTTTTAGGGGTCTTGAAGTTTGGATGTTCAAGGTTCAAGGCCTTGGGCTCGCACCCTGGCTCTCACCCTGGCTGTATCTTCTGCATCTTGCTTGATCATCTTCCGCATCTTTTCATGACACTCTAGCGCTCACTCTTCTGCATCCTGTTTTCGTTGTTTTCTCGTCTGCATCTTCTGATGACAATGATGACAATGTAGCTCGCACCCTGGATTTCTGATCACCAGCATTGTCTTTTTTGCTCTTTGCATCTTCTCGTGACGATACACAAAGAAGCAAGGCTATTAGATTTCATGAGCTCAGGTTTCTGGTCCAGCACGATAGTGCGCTTAACAGCGCGGTGGCATGTAGCAGGGCGCATGTTGTGGGGAGGGGGTTTAAGTGCGCGGCGGCGTGCTGCCGGGGAGGTGAAGCGCTCAGCGCTGGGTGCCGTGAGCAAAGGTGTGCGCAGCAGGGTGCTGCGGGAGAGCGTGTGTTGAGTGCACAGCGGCTGGAGCTTAGCACGCAGCTGGGTGCGCTTAATGGGCTTCGGGGGGATCGGCGTTACGAGCGCAGCGGGGAGCTGCCCGGGGGGTCTAAGCACGCAGCTTGGGCGCGGGGGGGGGGGGGGGGGGCAACTTGAGGATCGCAATTTGAATCTTATTTGGATAATAAGCTCAAAACCCGGATCGATGCAGCAGGTTCCCGCCTGCTATAATTAGTGTTACTGAATGGACGATGGTTAGCTACAGCGCGTGCCATGATGTCAGCTACTGGTTTCATGTTAATCGTAAGGTGTGTGCTTTAACGGGTTATTCACCCCAGCGTACCTGCTGTTGAGGAACTCAATACCCATTCTTTCACGAACTCCCAACACTTCCCCCACTTCCCAACACGGCGCTAGGTGTTGCCGGACCTCTCCTGCACAACCAGTATAAATGTTAAAGGCATTTCTGCCTACTCTCAAAATCCCTTGGTTCCAAGTGCTCTGCGCCATATGATGGACATGCATGCCAAATAGGAGCCACCTATACTCATGGATATGAACATGAACCTCTCACACAAAACGAGCGCCGGGCTGTGTGGCAAAGCGCACCTCTGCCGGCCTCCCAAAGAAAACAGAGCGCTGCGATGGGTGGCAAACACTCTGAAACAGCGTCGGCTCCAGTCCGTCCTAAAAACGCTGCAAGGCCCGTAACACTGCAGGTCTGTTACGCACGACATGGTGTTGCTAACACTTCGAGGTTGCAATGGACAGATTGCTCTCCAGTAGAAACTGTGACCACGCTCGACTAGGCTGGTGCCATGCCATATAAGCAGCATGCAGAAAACATAGCCGCGAACCATCGATCATGGACCGACAAAAACACCGAGTGCCAAAACAGGACCCTTCGACACTGTTGCAACGCGGAGCAAGTCACACTGGCGCTGCTCGAAAGCTAAAGCAACCACCGAACACAGGCTGTTGTTGATTGAACCATGGGCCGGCTGCAGCTCGATGGGTCCAAATTTGGGCGTAACACCTGGGATATTGGCACGATTAAGACGTCTAAGGCACGGATCTTAGAATTGCGCCTGGATCTGGAACCAAAAACTGAACAACAAAATTGGGCACGCTGCATTGCTGCATAACTTACACAAGCATCCTTAGCTGTTGCAATCAAGCGACGATTCGACAATCTTGTCGAAGGAAACAGCTTGGCCCTGATCGTGGCACCAATCCCGGACTGCAAAACCCATTACAAGTGTCCCCTCATATGCGTGAGGGTTTGATATTGATGTATGTGCTCACCTCACCGAGCAAGTACCATTGTAGTTGTTGTTGTGGTATGCCCTTGCAACGTAGGAGTAGTGTAGACGTAGTCGGCTCCAACCCTCGCAGGCAAACTCGGTACACTCGTGTTCCCGGCAGAGACCCGCAACGAGTTGTCTGTGCAGGGGAATGGCTTTGATCCTCCGGATCTTTACACAAAAGCAAGCTCAAGACACCTACGAATTGGACTAGGCATCGAGGCCGGTTCGCATCATAAAAGCACGCACCAAATGTGTGAATCCGCCGCGGCATCTGAATGATACCAGATCAGGGTGCAATGCCTCCAGCTGTGCGACCAGAAGCCCAACTTCCTGCGTGCAGCGATGGACATGTGCATGTGCACATGCCCTTGACTACTCGTACGGAAGGCTGGCAACTCAAGATTCGGAGGCGGCTGTGAAACCGGATCTCTAATTACTAATCTTGTGCACGCGCAGGACGGCTGGGCCGCACTTAGATTAAGGGGGTTCCTTTTCACTGCAGAATCGCCCCATGTCCTGCGTGTCTTCAAGCCGTCTCAAAATAAGTAGCCTACAGTTCTGCAGGCTGGTTACTGGGATCAAAGGAAGATAAGGAACGGCCGAATCCTATGAGGATTGTGCTAAAATGGCGCAACATGCAGTCCTTCTTGGCTTGGCTTCGCACGTCGAAAGCGGCCTGCTTCAAAAGCAGGGGCCCCTTGTCCGCCACCCAATCCAACCTTTAACTTTGTGTGGGGCCTGTCCAAGGCTCTCTAGCGCTAAACAACACCAGCAAATTGCAGAAAACCTGCCCAGTCCAAGCACTTGGCCTGTTCAAGAAGGCGGTTGCGCTCTCGCAAAGCCTGCTTTGTACCGGGACTGATTTCATGTTTGGCGCGAGCACTAAACATCTGATGGATGCACAATCACGACTGCACCGCTCCCTTTAACTCAGCTGCGCCTCGTTCTCTTCCGTGAGCGATTGGAGTCTCATCAAAAGGGTTTCCACCTCGAAACACGATCCAATGTGAACGCCCCATTACGCGGAAAGCGGTGCTGGCACCAACAATCCGTTAGCCTGCTATTTAACTCACTTCTCAACCCTTGCACCTGCTGAAGCTTGAGCTCAACAAGCCACCCAGCAGCAATAAACTCGGAAAGACGAATGCCTCCAAGTGCTGGCACAGTCACGTTTGTGTCCCATGGTCAGCTCCTATTAAATCAGTACCTCCTACTCTCCCTAGCCAATGTGCACACACACCCCGGCCAAAAATCCCTACATTTTCTCGACGATGTTCGCTGGTCCTAACTAGCAAGCCGAGGCGGTGGCATAGTCCATCGTCTGCAGACTGCATCCTTTCATGTCCCGCTCCTTGGTCCAACCATCGAGACTAGTCTATGGCAGGAAGACGAAAGTCGGACGGCAATATCCAAGGCCTCGACCCACATGACCAACGCCATGCCAACGAAGCAGCAAAGCAGCAAAGTGCAAGCTATCAGCTACCAGCAACTAACCCTGGGGAATTTGCTCTTACATGCACAGCACTGAAGCAGTTCAAGATGTCTGCTTGCTAAGAGTCGAAGTCGTAAGAACTGTGAGCCAAAATCAAATCCAGCCTTGGGTCTTTTAAGAGTAGATTGCATGCCTGGCTTGACAATAAGAAGAGCTTCTGCAAGCGAACTGCCAACCGGGTTTCCATGTTGCCCATATCGTACTGTGGTAGGTGGCAGACTTTTCTCAGGCACTTTCCGCCTCCGCCGACCAGGAGCGCCCTGGAGGATTCGATTCTGCAAGCGTGGTGTCTTGAGGGTGCGGCTTGGGGCTCGATGTGAATCAGCTGATCTGCGGCGACGGCTCCGCCCACAGAGATCAACGAGGGCTTGCAACAGTTTCACCCGACACACTAACCGACTTGCAGAAAGACCAGGGCTCGGTTTAAAGTTCCGGATCGCATGCTCGTTTCGCCGTCACTGCAACCTGGGAGAAGCGAGTATGTCTTGGAGTGTGACATCGGCCGATGCCTGAATGCGTCCAGCGGAACCGGCATCAATTTTCGCCTGATCGCCGTCATCCCAAAGCGACCTGTCAGAGGCCACTTGGCAGCATCATCGCCTGGTCCAAAGCATAGCTAAAGTGAGGTACTTCTGCGAGAGTTCCATCCCCTTTTCTGGTCATCTGTTTGGGTACCCTCACATAACTAGGTTGGCTGGCTCCGTTAGACGCGTAAGGCCGCATATCCCACAGGATCTGTTTTTATGCCCTCACTTGACAAAGTAGTTCAGTGCAGCACGCAGATCCTTCTGCGAAGTTGCTGACGTCAAGCCTCCGGAGGAGATACAGGGGCCAGCGCGGCATGGTTAGTATACGTAACAACATCAACCAACATAATCGTGCCGTGGCTCGGGTCTTGTTGACACTATGAACCCGCCAGCTGGCACATAAGATCCGCGTGAACCCAACTAAGGAAAATAGATTTAATACATCAATGAAGGGCCACCCTAGCCCCCCGTATGAAAAGCGGACTTTGAACTCCGTACCGTATATTCCTGAACGAAGGAAACGTGCCTCAATCTAAAGGAATGCATTAATCATTAAACCCGAACAACATTAAGCCGATGCTTGTCAACTTGTACGCGATCGTCGACTTCCAATCCGCGCCTGGAACATCTGCACAGGAATAGCCACAAACCAAACGGGCCTTGGCGAAAGCATGAAGTTCCAAAGATAAACCCCAAATCAGCTTAGAAGCCCAAGTTAATAGGAATTCGCGCGCAAGGTGGTTAGGAAGTTCGCTTTAAGGACACGCACTGAGGGTTCAGGGTTGAGACCTTAGAAATTGGGAGCCCACTCTGGAGGTCCGAAGTCAGCCCACACGCTAAACCGTCTAAACCCGAAAATCCTGGACATCCTCAAGCCCAAGCCTGAAGTCGCAGGCAACGCCAGCGCGGCTTAAAGAAAGGCACTGCAACATGTCGAGTACGCAGCCCTCCTGCACAGCAATCCCTACGGCCTCAGGCTGAAGGGTTTTGCCCCACACCCTGAACCTCCGCTTTACAACTGTTGTTCAGGGGTTTCCAGCTTGCTGGGATTAGGCTTCAGGATTCCGGTAGGGCTGCAACGATTGTAATATGGTGGCTGAGACGGTGGCATGGCCAACACCGGCGGAGGGCCCTGTGGCCAGAAAGTTGGACAGATTTGCAGGTAAACCTTTGACTGTTCAAAGTTTCTACTAGAAGATTTTCTATGAAATAACGAACCCTTCCGCGGAACCCTTCCGCGGAACCCTTCCGCGAGTATTGCTTCTTCTCGTCCGCTTTCCTCTGCTTCCGCGGACGCTTCCGCGGACTGATTTCGCGCATTCTTGAGAAACTTGCTTCCGCGAGTGGGTCCGTCAGATATAAACTCGAACACGCGTCGGGCGGTCCAAATCGTGCGAGCTCGACTACCCCAAAAGGTTAAAGGTTACCTACTCTACTACTAGTTATAATTGGGGTAATAAGTACCCTAAGCCCTAAGCCCCAAACCCCAAACCCTTAAACCCAAAACCCCAAACCCAAAAACCCAAACCCTGTACAAGTACAGCTATACTTGGGGGTAGCAAGTACCCTGGAACCTCCACGGTGCTCAGTGCCACGATCACGACATCGAACCTGGGATTTGCCCCCCAGACTGTCAGGGGCTTAGGGTTTAGGGTTTAGGGTTTAGGGTTTAGGGTTTAGGGTTTAGGGTTTAGGGTTTATTGTTTAGGGTATTGGTTTTTCGGGCCTTCGTGCTTTAAGGGTTTTGTAGGGGCTGAGGGGGCTTTGGTGGGTTTGTTGGGGGTTTTGGATGGAGACTTTTGGGGCTTTTCAGGGCGCATGGTGTTGAGACGATGTTCTCATGAAAGCCCTCAACCCTCAACCCTAAAACCTCAACCCTCAACCCTAAACCCTAAAACCCTCTTAAAAGCTTCTGGATTTCAAGTGGTCCTTGCTCAGAAGGGATGCCAGCGCACCACCATGGCTAGGACTTGATGCGCTTGCAACGTAGGGGTTACACCCCGTGGACCAGTCGCACTTGTAGAAGAGTAAAAAGGCTTAGGGTTTAGGGTTTAGGGTTTAGGGTTTAGGGTTTAGGGTTTAGGGTTTAGGGTTTAGGGTTTGGTTTAGGGTTTAGGGTTTAGGGTTTAGGGGTTAGGGGTTAGGGTTTAGGGTTTGGTGGTTTGGCGGTAGCTTGTACTACAACCAGGAGAGGATTGACGGGTGTTTTAAACAAGGTTGGAGAACCTCCAACCCTAACCCGCAAACCCTAAACCCTAAACCCTACGCCCTAAACCCTACTTAAAGCCAAACCCTACAACCTACACCCTAAACCTTGAGGGCATAGGCCTCTTCTAGCGAGGGGGGGGGGGGGGGGACAGTAAACCGCAAAATGCATCCCAGGGGCATGTTCCATCCGGCCTCCGGTCGGGGCGATGGGGACGCGCAGTAGGGTTTAGGGTTTCGGGTTTCGGGTTTAGGGTTTAGGGTTTAGGGTTTAGGGTTTAGGGTTTCGGGTTTAGGGTTTAGGGTTTAGGGTTTAGGGTTTAGGGTTTAGGGTTTAGGGTTTAGGGTTAGGGTTTAGGGTTCAATGTACCTACTACAAAACCTCCACATAGAAACCTTTAGCTTTCGGGCTGGTAGCCCAGAAACCATATCATAATATGGGCACCCTTTTTGGGGGGTTGGTTACTTTATCAGGAAACCTTGAACCAAAAAAGGGAAACGGGTAGCCACCAAGAAGAGAAGCACCAACCGAGAGCACTGACCACCCTGTAACCTTTTTAGGGCTTAGGGTCTAACTAGGGTTCAGGATTTAGGGTTTAGGGTTTGGGGTTTAGGGCTTAGGGTTTAGGGTTTAGAGTTTTAGGGTTGAAGACGATCCCCCTAAACCAGAAGACCCCAAACCCTGAACCTGAGGACGTTCTGCCAATCGGAAGTCTTTTTGGACTTTGGGTTTAGGGTTGAGGGTTTAGGGTCTAGCGTCTAGGGTTTAATTAGGGTTTAGGGTCTAGAGTCCAGGGTTTCGGGATCTACTAGCAGGGACTGGAGTGTTCAGGGTTTAGGGCTTATAGGTTGAAAGATTGGGTACGCATTGCAGACTCCGTGGGTCTAGACAATTGGGGATCTAGATTTGGCACACTCACAAAACTGCATGAATGCACAATACATGGTTTCAGTATTGACCATGAACTGTTCTTTCTCTGAATAGTTCAATATCATAAACTCTGCAGTTCCATCGAGTGTGGTGGCTCGAGTGTCCTCTTCGCCAAGACACACCCCATGTTTGACTCCTTCAAACAAGGAAGAGAAAACGGCATGAAAAGCGTCAGCCCACCATGTCATTGCCGACACCTGGCGACGGAGACCACGCCCAGATCGCGCATGTTCAAAGGAGTCTTGTCCCACGTCGAGAGGACGGCAGCCTTTTGGTCTTCAGGCAAGGCCGCCACCAAGACTGTCAATGCCTCTTGACCTGCCATTCTTCGCAGCGGTCAACACACGCCGGACACGATCTCGCACTGTGCTCTGACATTTGCGTCAACCGACTTGGCATTCTTCGCCTCATCGTGAGGTTTATAGGGTTTAGGGTTTAGGGGTTTAGGGTTTAGGGGTTGGGGGTTTAGGGTTTAGGGCGTTTAGGGCGTTTAGGGCGTTTAGGGCGTTTAGGGCGTTTAGGGCGTTTAGGGCGTTTAGGGCGTTTAGGGCGTTTAGGGCGTTTAGGGCGTTTAGGGCGTTTAGGGCGTTTAGGGTTTAGGGTTTAGGGCGCTTAGGGTTTGGGGACTTATCCTGGCGCCTGCGGGCCCCGCCAGAAGTCGTGGCAGCCCATGGCGATGAGCTTCAGGATGATCTCGAGCACGAAGATGCCTTTGTAGGGTTTAGGGTTTAGGGTTTGGGGTTTAGGGTTTAGGGTCTAGGGTCTAGGGTCTAGGGTTCAGGGCTTAGGGTTTAGGGTTTAGGGTTTAGAGCCCGAAGCTTGAGTGTTTCTAGGTCCAGGGCTTAGGGTTTAGGGTTTATGTGGTGCTGCGGGATCCAAACGCCAGACCCTGAACCATCTCAGGGGGTTGAGGGTCTCGTCGGGCTTAGCATTTCGCGTTTCACAAACAAGTTTGGGGGTGGGGCGAACCCTACATGCTAAACCAAACTCTAACCACCAAACGCCAAGCCTAACACCCGAAACCCATAGGTTGTTTATCTTACTTCTCCAACAACCAAGGGGAAAAAGGTTAAACTTTAATATTCCTGCTAAAAAAGGAAACCCAAAAAGTTTAAAGTTCAGCTAAAGGCGAAGTAAGTTATGAGGTCTCAGGAAAGAATTATCATTTTGTAGGCGCCGCAGCACCATGCCATTGCAGATGCAGGTGCCCACGATGGCCGTGTTCACCACCATGAACCTTAGGGTTTGGGGGCTTAGCGTTTGAAGGGCGGGAATTGCGGGGTTCAGGGTTAAGGGTTTAGGACTTGCAGGGTTTAGGGTTTAGAGTTTAGGGTTTGTAGGGTTCAGGGCTTCGGGCATCGGATTTCGGGTCTGACGTCCCGCCCAATATTTTTGGTGAAAGGCTCAACGTCCTAAGAACCCCTAAGGTTTTCTTATAAGGGTCCCGCCTGCAGTTCCTTGAGAGGGGAAGGACCCTGAGCCCCTAAATCCCTGAAACCCGAAACCCTAAGCCTAAACCTTAGACTCGCGTTCAATGAGAAAACTTACCCTAAACCCTAAACCCTAAACCCTAAACCCTAAACCCTAAACCCTAAACCCAGAGTTTAGGGTACAGGGTTTGGCGTTTAGGGTTTCGGGCCTTAGGTTCAGAGGGTTTTGGGCTTTCGGTTTGGGGCTTCGGGACTAGGACTTCTAGGGTCTAGGAGTCTTGGGTTCCAGGCCTAGGGTTTAGGGTTTAGGGTTTCGGGTTTAGGGTTTAGGGGTTTAGGGGTTTAGGGTTTAGGGTTTAGGGTTTAGGATTTAGGGTTTAGGGTTTAGGGGTTTAGGGTTTAAAGGGGTAATCCAGGACGAGGAACCAGGAGGGTATCTCATCTTCGCCAAGCTGGGAGCTCACGTCGATCTCCACTCCCAGCAAGATCGCATTGACGACGATCCTCAGGGGGTTGGCGTTTAGGGTTTTGGGGTTTAGGGTTCAGGGTTTAGGGTTCAGAGTTTAGGGTTTAGGGTTTTGGGTTCAGGGTTTAGGGTTTAGGGTTTAGGGTTTAGGGTTTAGGGTTTAGGGTTTAGGGTTTAGGGTTTAGGGTTTAGGGTTTAGGGCTTGGGCTTAGAGTTCTTTCAGGGGCTAAAAAATACCACACCCTGCTAAGCCTTACACCCTCAACCTAAACCCAAGGAAGTGAAACTGCATACCCTGAAGCCTGAAACCCGAAACGCCAACACCCTCAGCCCCAGACCCATTCCAAGGGCCGCGAGCCGTAGCACTTTGAACTTACAACCCCGCGAAGCCTCGCCGCATCAAGTTTGGGGTTCAGGGCTTGGCATATCGGCTTTCGGGTTTGGGGTCTAGGGTTTTGGGTTTGAGGTTAGGGTTTAGGGGGGGCTTTGGGTTTAGGGCTAAACCCTAAACCCTAACCCCTAAACCCGAAACCCTAAACCCTTCGGGCAGGGCGCAGGAAGAGGATAAGGGCGTTGAAGGGGCCGCTCTGGACAGCTTCGCGTGCGCGTGTTCGCAGGCTCACCTCAGACCACAAAGGGAACTAGGGGTTGAGGGGTTTAAGGTTTAGGGTTTAGGGTTTCGGGTTTAGGGTTTAGGGTTTAGGCTTTGGGGTATAGGGTTTAGGGTTGGGCTTCGGCTATAGGGTTCAGGGTTCAGGGTTTAGGGTTCAGGGTTCAGGGTTTCGGGTTTAGGGCTTGGGGCTTGGGTTTAGGGCGACCCAAGAGTAACCTGGGAAGGTGCCCTTTTTGGTTTCAAGGGGCTCCTTAAGGGAGCCTAAACCCTAAAACAAGGGAAAACGGGCTTAGTGTTTAGGGTTCAGGGTTCAGGGTTTAGGCTTCAGGGTTCAGGCTTGGGGGTTCCGCGTTCCAGGGTTTGAGATGGGCTTGGGGGTTAAGGGTTTGGTGTTTAGGGCCCGGGGATCAGTGGCATGAGGGTTTAGGGTGAAGAGTTTTGTTTCAGGACTTGGCATGCAGGGCGTTTGGGCACAGCGAATGTTAGAGTGGTATGGCTTTAGGGTTTAGGGTTGCATCTCGAAAAGACCCTGGACCATAAATCCCCCCCAAAGCCCAAACCCTAACTTTGGCCCAAACCTCATAAGCCTTGAATCCCTAAAACCCACAAAGCCCTCAAACTCCCAAAAGCCCGCCCAAAAAATCCCGAAACCCACAAACACCCCAAAGCCCTCAACCCCTAAACCCTAGACCCTAAACCCTGGACCTTCAGCGCGTTCCGCGTAAAGAAGTCGGACCTAAACCCTAAACCCTAAACCCTAAACCCTCTCTTTCTTATATATATTTAAACCTTCGGCCGATTTCGGCCACGGCCGAAAAGCCACGAACACTGGTCCCCCCAGTGTTCGGCCGATTTCGGCCACGGCCGAAAAGCCACGAACACTGGTCCCCCCAGTGTTCGGCCGATTTCGGCCTGGCCGAAAAGCCACGAACACTGGTCCCCCCAGTGTTCGGCCGATTTCGGCCACGGCCGAAAAGCCACGAACACTGGTCCCCCCAGTGTTCGGCCGATTTCGGCCACGGCCGAAAAGCCACGAACACTGGTCCCCCCAGTGTTCGGCCGATTTCGGCCTGGCCGAAAAGCCACGAACACTGGTCCCCCCAGTGTTCGGCCGATTTCGGCCTGGCCGAAAAGCCACGAACACTGGTCCCCCCAGTGTTCGGCCGATTTCGGCCTGGCCGAAAAGCCACGAACACTGGTCTCCCCAGTGTTCGGCCGATTTCGGCCACGGCCGAAAAGCCACGAACACTGGTCCCCCCAGTGTTCGGCCGATTTCGGCCACGGCCGAAAAGCCACGAACACTGGTCCCCCCCCCTATCCTCACCCCGTCAGGGCCCAGCGTTTAGGGTTTCAAGGCCTCAAAGCCTGTGTTTAGGGTTTCAGGGCCTCAGGGCCTGTGTTTAGGGTTTCAGGGCCCAGCGTTTAGGGTTTCAAGGCCTCAGGGCCTGCGTTTAGGGTTTTAGGGCCTCAGGGCCTGTGTTTAGGGTTTCAGGGCCCAGCATTTAGGGTTTCAAGGCCTCAGGGCCTGTGTTTAGGGTTTCAGGGCCCAGCGTTTAGGGTTTCAAGGCCTTAAAGCCTGTGTTTAGGGTTTCAGGGCCTCAGGGCATGTGTTTAGGGTTTCAGGGCCCAGCGTTTAGGGTTTCAAGGCCTCAGGGCCTGTGTTTAGGGTTTCAGGGCCTCAGGGCCTGTGTTTAGGGTTTCAGGGCCCAGCGTTTAGGGTTTCAAGGCCTCAGGGCCTGTGTTTAGGGTTTCAGGGCCTCAGGGCCTGTGTTTAGGGTTTCAGGGCCCAGCGTTTAGGGTTTCAAGGCCTCAGGGCCTGTGTTTAGGGTTTCAGGGCCTCAGGGCCTGTGTTTAGGGTTTCAGGGCCCAGCGTTTAGGGTTTCAAGGCCTCAGGGGCCTGTGTTTAGGGTTTCAGGGCCTCAGGGCCTGTGTTTAGGGTTTCAGGGCCCAGCGTTTAGGGTTTCAAGGCCTCAGGGCCTGTGTTTAGGGTTTCAGGGCCTCAGGGCCTGTGTTTAGGGTTCCAGGGCCCAGCGTTTCGGGTTTCAAGGCTTCAGGGCCTGTGTTTAGGGTTTCAGGGCCTCAGGGCCTGTGTTTAGGGTTTCAGGGCCCAGCGTTTGGGGTTTCAAGGCCTCAAAGCCTGTGTTTAGGGGTTTCAGGGCCTCAGGGCCTGTGTTTAGGGTTCCAGGGCCCAGCGTTCAGGGTTTCAAGGCTTCAGGGCCTGTGTTTAGGGTTTCAGGGCCTCAGGGCCTGTGTTTAGGGTTTCAGGGCCCAGCGTTTTAGGGTTTCAAGGCCTCAGGGCCTGTGTTTTTAGGGTTTCAGGGCCTCAGGGCCTGTGTTTAGGGTTTCAGGGCCCAGCGTTTAGGGTTTCAAGGCCTCAGGGCCTGTGTTTAGGGTTTCAGGGCCCAGCGTTTAGGGTTTCGAGGCTTCAGGGCCTGTGTTTAGGGTTTCAGGGCCTCAGGGCCTGTGTTTAGGGTTTCAGGGCCCAGCGTTTAGGGTTTCAAGGCCTCAAAGCCTGTGTTTAGGGTTTCAGGGCCTCAGGGCTTGTTTTTATGGTTTCAGGGCCCAGCGTTTAGGGTTTCAAGGCCTCAGGGCCTGTGTTTAGGGTTTCAGGGCCTCAGGGCCTCAGGGCCTGGGTTTAGGGTTTCAGGGCCCAGCGTTTAGGGTTTCAAGGCCTCAAAGCCTGTGTTTAGGGTTTCAGGGCCTCAGGGCCTGTGTTTAGGGTTTCAGGGCCCAACGTTTGGGGTTTCAAGGCCTCAAAGCCCGTGTTTAGGGTTTCAGGGCCTCAGGGCCTTGTGTTTAGGGTTTCAGGGCCCAGCGTTTAGGGTTTCAAGGCCTCAGGGCCTGTGTTTAGGGTTTCAGGGCCTCAGGGCCTGTGTTTAGGGTTTCAGGGCCCAGCGTTTAGGTTTCAAGGCCTCAGGGCCTGTGTTTAGGGTTTCAGGGCCTCAGGGCCTGTGTTTAGGGTTTCAGGGCCCAGCGTTTAGGGTTTCAAGGCCTCAGGGCCTGTGTTTAGGGTTTCAGGGCCTCAGGGCCTGTGTTTAGGGTTTCAGGGCCCAGGGTTTAGGGTTTCAAGGCCTCAGGGGGCCTGTGTTTAAGGGTTTCAGGGCCCAGCGTTTAGGGTTTCAAGGCCTCAGGGCCTGTGTTTAGGGTTTCAGGGCCTCAGGGCCTGTGTTTAGGGTTTCAGGGCCCAGCGTTTAGGGTTTCAAGGCCTCAGGGCCTGTGTTTAGGGTTTCAGGGCTTCAGGGCCTGTGTTTAGGGTTTCAGGGCCCAGCGTTTAGGGTTTCAAGGCCTCAGGGCCTGTGTTTAGGGTTTCAGGGCCTCAGGGCCTGTGTTTAGGGTTTCAGGGCCCAGCGTTTAGGGTTTCAAGGCCTCAGGGCCTGTGTTTAGTGTTTCAGGGCCTCAGGGCCTGTGTTTAGGGTTTCAGGGCCTCAGGGCCTGTGTTTAGGGTTTCAGGGCCCAGCGTTTAGGGTTTCAAGGCCTCAAAGCCTGTGTTTAGGGTTTCAGGGCCTCAGGGCCTGTGTTTAGGGTTTCAAGGCCCAGCGTTTAGGGTTTCAAGGCCTCAGGGCCTGTGTTTAGGGTTTCAGGGCCCAGCGTTTAGGGTTTCAAGGCCTCAAGGCCTGTGTTTAGGGTTTCAGGGCCTCAGGGCCTGTGTTTAGGGTTTCAGGGCCCAGCGTTTAGGGTTTCAAGGCCTCAGGGCCTGTGTTTAGGGTTTCAGGGCCTCAGGGCCTGTGTTTAGGGTTTCAGGGCCCAGCGTTTAGGGTTTCAAGGCCTCAGGGCCTGTGTTTAGGGTTTCAGGGCCTCAGGGCGTGTGTTTAGGGTTTCAGGGCCCAGCGTTTAGGGTTTCAAGGTTTCAGGGCCTCAGGGCCTGTGTTTAGGTTTCAGGGCCCAGCGTTTAGGGTTTCAAGGCCTCAAGGCCTGTGTTTAGGGTTTCAAGGCCTCAACGCTGTGTTTTTTCAAGTTTTTCAGGGTTTTTCAAGGTTTTTCAATTTTTTTTCAGGTTTTTCCATGTTTCTTCGGTTTTTTCAGTGTTTTCTGAGGAAGGGCTGCCCCCCGCGACGTTTTCACAGCCTAATTTCGGTCAAGGGGGGGTCGTATTTTTGGATTTTAAAGGCAAAATAGTCTTTGGAGACCCTCCTTGCCTCAAACTCCGACCCCCCCTTGAGAGGGAAAGTTTGCCTCAAAAAACACCCCAAAAGGGACCTCAGGTTGGCCTAGACCCGCAATGAAAATGCGAATTTTTAGTACTGACATCGAGGGTTCTGGGTGGCCTCTCGTTTTCTGGGTTTTTGTGTTTTTCAAGTTTTTCAAGACTTTTCCGCGACCTTTTTCACAATTTTTTTGGTCAGGGGGGGGGGGGGGGTCATTTTTCGATTTTAAAGGCAAAATAATCTTCGGAGACCCCCCCTTGCCTCGAACTCCGACCTCCCAAAAACACCCCAAATGGGGGGGACCCCAGGCTTTTTTTCATTCTTTTTTTCAGGGTTTTTTCATTTTTAAAAATTTTTCAAGGTTTGAGCCTCAGTTTAGGATTTCAAGACCTCAAAGCCTCGCGTGGTTTAGTATCTCCACCTCCTCGTTTGTTAAGTGGAAGTCATTCATTTTGCTATTGAACCATCCTAATAAAAAGAAGAAATTGTTCGTCGGTGGAAGGTTCAGTGGAAAACGTGTCCGAGTTGGGTAGGTACTCTGGGGAAGATGACAACCGTTTATTTTCTTAATGTTATGGGATTCTTTGGGCGGGTGGGTTTTTTTCCTGAGCCTGGAATGAATGCTAGAACAGTGACCCTCTAGACCCTAAACCCTAAACCCTAAACCCTAAACCCTAAACCCTAAACCCTAAACCCTAAACCCTAAACCCCACTTCGCCAGAGTGGCGCTACCCAGGGAGGACATGGCGCGCACGAGGCGCAGGTTCCGGAGGTCGTGCGCCTCTTCGGGTATGGTTACATGGTCCCTTCTTTTGGGACCCTTTTTGGGGTTTAGGGTTTAGGGTTTAGGGTTTAGGGTTCAGGGTTTAGGTTTTAGGGTGAGAAGGGCTGGTTTGTTTTAAGTGCTTCGGGCTTGGGGCTTTCAGGGTTTAGCCGAAAGGCTTGTTAAGCTTGAAGGCCTTGAGGGTCGAGAGTTCTGAGCATTTGGAGTCTGCATCGGTTGCGAACTTAGGCGGTTTAGGGTTTAGGGTTTAGGAATTAGGGTTTAAGGTTTACTTCACGTCTTTACATCGTAGGGGTGCGAAAACCACTTAGCTGAAGGCCCCGAGAGCCCCAAAACCCTACAGTAATGCCCGAAATCCCAAAAATCCTGAAGCCCTAGAAGCCTATAAACCCCAAACCCTAAACCCTAAACCCTAAACCCTAAACCCTAAACCACCCCAAAAGCCTAAAAAACCCTCAAAGCCTAAAGGCCCTAGAGCCCCCTAAACCCTAAAGCCTAAACCCTAAACCCTAAGCCCTAAACCCTAAACCCTAAACCCCTAAACCCCTAAACCCTAAACCCCTAAACCCTAAACCCTAAACCCCTAAACCCTAAACCCCTAAACCCTAAACCCTAAACCCTAAACCCTAAACCCCTAAACCCTAAACCCTAAACAACACCCTACAAGCCTCACTAAGGCCCCGCCCCTCCTCGATGTGCTGCCGGATCATCTCAGGGTCGACCATCGAGACGCGCCGCGCCGCGCTGTCCTGCAGCGGCTGAGGGCTTTTCAGGGTTTAGGGTTTAGGGTTTAGGGTTCAGGGTTTAGGGTTTAGGGTTTAGGGTTTAGGGTTTAGGGTTTGGGGATTTAGGGTTCAGGGTTTAGGGTTTAGGGTTTAGGGTTTAGGGTTTAGGGTGTAGGGTGTATAGGGGGTTTGGGGTTTTTGTTTAGGGTTTATGGGGTTTCACCGGGCTTTATGAGAGTTTTTTGAGGTTGTACAGGGGGTTTATCGGGTTTGGAGGGATTACAGGGGTTTATGAGGGTTTTTTAGGGCTTTACAGGGTTTATAGTGTTTCAGTAGTGTTTCTGAGGTTTATTGGGTTTACAGGGTTTATAGGGCTCGGGGGCATCTTCTTTCTTAGCTTTGGGGCTTATTAGGGGTGTTTAGGGTTCTGAGTTTGGGGTGCAGGGTGTAGTGGACCAAACGTGCTCATATGTTTGCCGCAGCCCGGCTTGGCGGCAAGTCAACATTGCGTCGCACGCGACGGCTGAACGCACCACTGCCTTGGTGGCACCATCACCCTAAACCCTAAACCCTAAACCCTAAACCCTAAACCCTAAACCCCAAACCCCAAACCCCAAACCCCAAACCCTAAACCCCCAAACCTTAAACCCCCAAAACCCAAACCCTAAACCCTAAACCCTAAACCCTAAACCCTAAACCCTAAACCCTGTCATCCGGCCTACCACCTTCTCTGCCCATGTCATATCCTCGGTGCGCCCACTGCCGGACCGTGTGGACGGGGCCACTCGCTGCCCCAAGGGACGCCGACCCCGACCTGCAGGGGCCACGGGGCGGCCTTAGCATCCTCCTTGTACGCCTGGCACAAACACTTGCTGACAAGACCGAATTCATCCCTAACCCAAACCCGAAACCCTAAACGGCTCATGGGCTGTTACTTGTGGAGGATTCTCTATTGCCGCCCATCCATCTCCCTTAAACTCTAAACCCTAAACTGAAAAACCTAAACCCTGAACCCTAAACCCTAAACCCTAAACCCTGAACCCTAAACCCTGAACCCTAAACCCTGAACCCTAAACCCTAAACCCTAAACCCTGAACCCTAAACCATACGCCCCTCCTGCGTCCCCAGGCGCCCCCGAAGGGGCCCATGGTAGGAGTGGTGCGATTCGCATTCGGACGTCTCGTTGAAGTCCACCGACTCAACCTCCGGAACATGGTGGTCCCCCCAAGGAAACAAAGAGGGTTCAGGGTTTAGGGTTTAGGGTTTAGGGTTTAGGGTTTAGGGTTTAGGGTTTAGGGTTTAGGGTTTGGGGTTTGGGGTTTGGGGTTTGGGGTTTGGGGTTTGGGGTTTGGGGTTTGGGGTTTGGGGTTTGGGGTTTGGGGTTTGGGGTTTGGGGTTCAGGGTTTAGGGGTTGGGGTTTGGAGGTTAGGGTGGAGCCAGGTTATTGGGGGTGTCTTTTTGCTTTTTTGGGTATGTTTTTGGGTTTTGGGTTCAAGGGTTCAAGGGTTCAAGGGTTCAAGGGTTCAAGGGTTCAAGGGTTCAAGGGTTCAAGGGTTCAAGGGTTCAAGGGTTCAAGGGTTCAAGGGTTCAAGGGTTCAAGGGTTCAAGGGTTCAAGGGTTCAAGGGTTCAAGGGTTCAAGGGTTCAAGGGTTCAAGGGTTCAAGGGTTCAAGGGTTCAAGGGTTCAAGGGTTGAAGGGTTCAAGGGTTCAAGGGTTCAAGGGTTCAAGGGTTCAAGGGTTCAAGGGTTCAAGGGTTCAAGGGTTCAAGGGTTCAAGGGTTCAAGGGTTCAAGGGTTCAAGGGTTCAAGGGTTCAAGGGTTCAAGGGTTCAAGGGTTCAAGGGTTCAAGGGTTCAAGGGTTCAAGGGTTCAAGGGTTCAAGGGTTCAAGGGTTCAAGGGTTCAAGGGTTCAAGGGTTGTAGGGTTGTAGGGTTGTAGGGGGGTTGTACGGGGGTTGTACGGGGGTTGTACGGGGGTTGTACGGGGGTTGTAGGGGGGTTGTAGGGTTGTAGGGTTGTAGGGTTTTAGGGTTTTAGGGTTTTGGGGTTTTGGGGTTTAGGGGTTTTATGGGTTTTAGGGTTTTAGGGTTTTAGGGCTTTAGGGTTTTTGGGTTTTAGGGTTTTAGGGCTTTAGGGTTTTTGGGTTTTAGGATTTAAGGGTTAGGGTTTAGGGTCTAGAAAACCAAAAAATACTCAAAAAAACGAAAACATACCCAAAAAGAACCCCCCACCGGGTTATGGTTTAGGTGTAGGGGTTAGGGTTTAGGGCTTAGGGCTTAGGGCTTAGGGCTTAGGGCTTTGGGCTTAAGGTTGCGGGCTCAGGGTTGCGAGTTTATAGATAAGCTAAAGATGCCTCGGAGAAACGACCGACGACCCAAGCCCCCAATCCGACCCTCACAGGTTTCGAACTGCGGTGCAACCTGGAATCCTAGAACAGGGGCAGCTATGGTGACGGTAGGGTTTGGGGGTTTGGGGGTTTGGGGGTTTGGGGGTTTGGGGGTTTGGGGTTGGGGTTTAGGGTTTAGGGTTTAGGGTTTAGGGTTTAGGGTTTAGGGTTTAGGGTTTAGGGTTTAGGGTTTAGGGTTTAGGGTTTGAGGTTTGGGGTTTAGGGTTTAGGGTTTAGCGTTTAGGGTTGAGGGTTTAGGGTTGAGGGTTTAGGGTTTAGGGTTTAGGGTTTAGGGTTTAGGGTTTAGGGTTTAGGGTTTAGGGTTTAGGGTTCAAAAAGCACCCCCTCCCCCAACGCAGCAGCGGCACCAGCTCCGCTGCCGGCTTCAGAGGAGCCCCCGCGTTGGCCTTGGCTTGCTCCTCGGGCTCACGGTTCAGTAGGGTTTAGGGTTTAGGGTTTTGGGTTTTGGGTTTAGGGTTTTGGGTTTTGAGTTTAGGGTTTAGGGTTTAGGGTTTTGGGCTTTGGGTTTTGGGTTTTGGGTTTGGGGTTTTGGGTTTTGGGTTTTGGGTTTTGGGTTTTGGGTTTTGGGTTTTGGGTTTTGGGTTTTGGGTTTTGGGTTTGTCTCTGACGCGGTCTGAGGTGTACTTGGTCTGAGGCGTAATTGGCGGGTACATCTGGGGTTCTAGGTAGGGCAGCTCAAGCTGCCATAGCTCGCTCTGAACACGACCTCCAAGTACCTTAAACCCGGAACCCTGAACCCAAAACACGAAACCCAAACCCGAAACCCTAAACCGCAGGGGAGGTACCCTAAACCCTAAACCCTAAACCCTAAACCCTAAACCCTAAACCCTAAACCCTAAACCCCTAAACCCTAAACCCTAATTAAACCCTACAAAACCTCCAAGCCCGGCCTCAAAGTGGCCAAAGAGGGAGAAGGTGGTGGACCTCGTCCGTGGGTAGTACCCAAGCGTGGACTCCTGGGCTGCACAGACCCCGGTCCGAGCGGTTTAGGGTTTAGGGTTTAGGGTTTAGGGTTTAGGGTTTAGGGTTTAGGGTTTAGGGCTTAGGGTTTATCAGGCTCTAACCTGGCTTAGACTCTCCAGAATGCAGGTGGCCTCCTCATCCCACAACACCAATCACAGCAAAAATGAGCCTCAAGCCACAAGCCACCCCCCAACCCTAAATTCTGCCTGAAACCCCACCACCCCGAAACCCATGAACCCCCAGAACCCTCCCTTAAACCCATAACACCGTCCCAAAAACCTCCAAAAACCTTATTAGATCCCAAGCACCCGAAACCCTAAACCCCAAATCCTAAACCCTAAACCCTAAACCCTAAACCCTAAATCCTAAACCCTAAACCCTAAACCCTAAACCCTAAACCCTACCACCTCTAAAGCCTAGGCTCCGTGGGCCGTGACTCGCTGAAAGAGGGGGCGTGCGGAGCCAGCGACCTGGGGTTTCATAAAATGTGGGATTTAGGTTTAGGGTTTAGGGCTTGGGGTTTAGGGTTTAGGGTTTAGGGTTCAGGGTTTAGGGTTTAGGGTTTAGGGTTTAGGGTTTTAGGGTTTTAGGGTTTAGGGTGCAGGGTGTAGAGTTTAGGGTTGAGGGCTCACGCTTGTACGTGACCAAAGGAGGCGGGGGGGGTTTACGTGAGGGGCGATGGGGGATGATTCGCTATCCCGGAACCTACAGGGCCTACACTCCTAGAAAAGAGGACTGCGCTCAAGGGACTGAAGGAGTGGGGTTCTTTAAGGGTTAGTTTCGGGCTACTTAGGTAGACCGGGCCTAAAAGGTATATAGGAGTTACATAGAGGAATGAGATTAAGGGTCCCTTCTAGGGGGAACATCACAAAAAACACGCTCACAAACAGAGGCGAATGTTCCGGCGTGGCAGCCATCGAATGAATGAAGGACGTTTGGGGCGCTCTGGTGTTTGTGAACCCCCTTAATGAACCCTAACCCCGAAACAATGGACCCGAAATCGTAGAAACCCAACAACCTTCAATCTTGAAGTACCCAAGGCCGTAACCCCTAGACCTCAAACTGCTCCCTAAACCGCAACCCTAGACCCTAGACCCTAAACCCTAAACCCTGACCCCTGACCCCTAGACCCTAGACCCTAGACCCTAAACCCTGAACCCTAAACCCTAAACCCTAAACCCTAAACCCTAAACCCTAATCCGCATCCCAGGCTGCATGGACTTCATGTCCGACCGGATCTCGGCCAGCAGCTGCGCTTGCTTGGCAAACCTGGAGATCGCAGGCGGTTTGCCGTTTAGGGTTTAGGGTTTAGGGTTTAGGGTTTAGGGCTTAGGGTTTAGGGTTTAGGGTTTAGGGTTTAGGGTTCAGGGCTTAGGGCTTACGGCTTACGGCTTACGGCTTAGGACTTAGGTAAACCCTAAACCCTAAACCCTAAACCCTAAACCCTGAACCCTGAACCCTAAACCCTAAACCCTAAACCCGCCCTTGCGAACTCTCCTTGGCGACCAAAGGGGCTGGAGTTCGAGGTACTCGCGCAGCTCCATCAGCCCGAGAAGCTCCGCCGAGTCGCCAGGGAGGTTCGCCATCGCTTTTAGGGTTCAGGGTTTAGGGTTTCGGGTTTAGGGTTTAGGGTTTAGGGTTTAGGGTTTCGGGTTTCGGGTTTAGGGTTTAGGGTCCAGGGTCCAGCGTCTAGGGTCTAGGGTCTAGGGGTTTTTGTCAAAGAGAGGGCGATGAAGGAACCCCCCCCCCCCACACCTCCTCTTTTGGATTTCGGGTTTAGGGTTTAGGGTTTAGGGTCTAGGGGTACAGGGTTGAGGGTCTAGGGTCTAGGGGTCTAGGGTTGAGGGTTGAGGGTTTAGGGAGAAAAACCTCACAGTGCCGCCGCTTACTCACAAGCTGCTTTGCAAGCTTCAGGGTGTCGCCGTTTTGCCTTTTTTATTTTCTTTGTTTTTATTTTTGTTTTTTTTTTTGGGGCGGGGGCTTAGGCAGTAGTAGCCCTAAACCCCACACAGACGGATGCCTTCAAATGGCCCTAAGGCTTCTGGGCCTGAGTGCGAGGTTGCGGGCCTTGGATTTTGGGGCTTTGGGTGCTTTGGGTGCTTAGGGTTTTGGGGTTTAGGGTTTGGGGTTTACGGTTCGGGGTTTAGGGTTTGGGGTTTACGGTTTAGGGTTTGGGGTTTGGGGTTTAGGATTTGGGGTCTAGGGTTTAGGGTTTGGGGTTTGGGGTGTAGGGTTTGGGGTTTGGGGTGTAGGGTTTAAGGTTTTGGGGTCAGAGCCTTAGGGCTTAGTGGTCTTGAGTGCTCATTAGTGGTTTTGAGGGCTCATATGCAGGGCTTTGGGGTTCAGGCGGTTTAGGGCTTTTGGGGGGGGGGCTTGGGGTTTAAGGTGTCGGGGTTCGGGTTAGTAGTTTAAGGGTTTAGGGGTTTGGGGCTTAGGTTTAGGGGGGAGGAGGGAGTGGAGGGGCGGGTGTGGGGCACTGTGAACATGGGGCATTCCTACCAATATCTTAAGACTCGTGAAGCCCTAGCACACCAACGTCCCGAAAGACCCTAGACCCTGAACCCTAAACACTAAACCCTAAACCCTAAACCCCAAACCCCAAACCCCAAAACCCCTAGACCCTAAACCCAAAACCCTGAATCCTAAACCCTGAACCCTAAACCCTAAACCGTAAACCCTAAACCCTAAACCCCTTTTTCGGTGAGAGCCTTCTTCGCACGGCAGCGCGATGGCGTGGCTGTGAGGGTTTTTTGGGGGCTTCGTGCTGGGCCTGGGCTTAGGGTTTAGGGCTTGGAATTTAGGGTTTAGGGCTTGGAATTTAGGGTTTAGGGTTTAGGGTTTAGGGTTTAGGGTTTAGGGTTTAGGGTTTAGGGTTTAGGGTTTAGGGTTTAGGGTTTAGGGTTTAGGGTTTAGGGCCTGGGCTTGCAAGTTGGGGGTTTGAGGGCTGAGGGTGCACTTGGGTTTTCGGGCTTTAAGGGTTTAAGGTTTAGAGTGTAGTTAGGGTGTAGGGTGTGGGGTTTAGGGCTTTGAGTTTTGAGTTTTGGGCTGGCAAGTTGGGGTTTTGGGTCTGAGGGTTGAGAGTGCAGTTAGGGTGTAGGGTTAGGGCGAACCTAGTGAACGCTTGAACTTTGAGATGCTGAACTCGAAACCCTAAACCCTAAACCCTGAACCCTGAACCCTGAACCCTAAACCCTAAACCCTAAACCCTAAACCCTAAACCCGAACAACCTCTGAGCCTGCTGCTCTGTCGCAAACGCCCTGCGCCTATGGCGCAGGGCGTCGAAAGAGTCCACCTGGCAGAAGCCTTGTCCGGCTGAGCCACCCTCTCATCGATGCAGGGTTTCGGGGTTTAGGGTTTCGGGGTTGAGGGTTGAGGGTTTAGGGTTTAGGGTTTGGGGCTCCTAGCGTTCTAGTGTTTTAGGAGTTCAGGGTTTCAGGTTGTGGGATTAGGGGCTTCGGCTTGGGGGGGGGGAAGGCTTCGGGGGGGAATCCCTAAACCCCTAAACCCGTAAAGCCTAAACCCTCTAAACCCTCTAAACCCTCTAAACCCTCTAAACCCTCTAAACCCTTTAAACCCCTAAACCCCTAAACCCCTAAACCCCTAAGCCCCTAAGCCCCTAAACCCCTAAGCCCCTAAGCCCCTAAACCCCTAGGCCCCTAAACCCCTAAACCCCTAAACCCCTAAACCCTGAACCCTTAACCCTTGGGTAGGGAGCTCTCGCAGTTGCGCTGACCAGGATCCGCCAGGAAAGTCATTAGCAAACCCCGGCCTCGAGTCCAGGTACAGCAAAGGGGCTGTTCTAACGCAGAAACCGGGCGTTGATACACAGCATATGGTGATTTGTCTAAATCATGGCCCTTTTGAGGGGCCACAATGTAGAGAAGTGACCATATCTACGAGGGCGCCTTAGGTAGTTCGAAGTCAAGCCGGCCTGTGGCCGATTGTGCGCAGGCCACCGGACATCTAGCTACCCCATCTAGGCTGGCCTTAGAAGCCTGTGAACAGGGTTTAGGGTTTAGGGTTTAGGGTTTAGGGTTTAGGGTTTAGGGTTTAGGGTTTAGGGTTTAGGGTTTAGGGTTTAGGGTTTAGGGTTTAGGGTTTAGGGTTTAGGGATGCCGAAGGGTGCCCCTTTTGTTGCTTAAAGGGGCTTATGAGGGAACCGAACCGCCCCAAAAGGGGAATGAGGGCACGGGCATCCGAGTGAACATACCCTGGTTCTCTCAAGCGCAAGAGCGGAGATATGAAATATCGCAACTAAGGCTACGGACGACTCCAGCAAATTTAGAACAACCCTAAACCCTAAACCCTGAACCCTGAACCCTGAACCCTGAACCCTGAACCCTCAACCCTCAACCCTCAACCCTCAACCCTCAACCCTCAACCCTAAACCCTAAACCCTAAACCCTAAACCCTAAACCCTAAACCCTAAACCCTACCCCTCTCTCCCCAGGTTGCGTTGTTACAATGTGTTGCAATGTAGAACAACCCCAATGCGGGAGGGGGGGGGGGGCTGCGACTGCCTCGGAGCTCGGAACGGCCTTCGGCCTGTGCCCCAAGAATGCGATGGCAACCCCCCGAGTGCTGCCAAGAAAAAGCACGGCTCGCATTTTCTTCGCCGATGGGGGGTTTAGGGTTTAGGGTTTGGGGTTTGGGGTTTAGGGTTTGGGGTTTGGGGTTTAGGGTTTTGGGGGGAGGGTTTGGGGTTTAGGGTCACAAGGGCTCGCGGATCAGCGCTGATGGCCCCGATGGCCCCGAAGGTCGCTGCTCCAGCTTGGAGACCAGCGTCCTGCGGAGGGGCGAGCGCTCAGAGGCCCCCAAGCCCGACCCCTAAAACCGTAACTCTAAACCCTAAACCCTAAAAACTAAACCCTAAACCCTAAACCCTGCATCCTAATCCAATCAGCTCTTCATCCTGCACCTTAAACCCTAAACCCTAATCAGCTCTTCATCCTGCACCTTAAACCCTAAACCCTAAATCCCAAACCCTAAACCCTAAACCCGGAATCCTAAACCCTGAAGCCTCGACCCTAGACGCGACATGCGAAGCCCCCAGCCACGAAATGTTGGTTGAGGCTTTAGAGCGCAGGGTTCAAGGGGAACGGAGTGCAGGGTTTCGGGTTTAGGGTTTTGGGTTTCGGGTTTTGGGTTTTGGATTTTGGGCTTAGGGGGCTTTATTTTGAAAGGGCTTGAGGTTTAGGGTTCAGGGGGGGGGTTGAGGAGGTTTGAGAGTTTCAGGGTCGGGTTGAGCGTTGAGGGTTTCAGGGGTTTGGAAAGCGAGGCTTGATGTGTCCTACAAGCACTCCCAAACCATTAAACCCCACACCCCCAAACCCCAAACCCTCAAGCCCCCAAGCCCTAAACCCTAAACCCCGCCTACCCCTTACGGGACAGGCGCTCAAACCCCCCCCAAAAGCCCCTTCAGCCCTAAACCCTAGATCCGGTCCGCAAGTCGGCTTTGACCGTGTTCACTGCATCCCGGGTGAGCTTGTTCTCCTTGTGGTCCGGGTTTTGGGTTTAGGGTTTCGGGTTTAGGGTTTGGGGTTTGGGGTTTAGGGTGTAGGGTTTAGGGTTCGGGTTTAGGCTGTAGGGTTTATAGTGGGTGGTCCAGGAGTCAGGGGGCCTAGGGCTCTTGGTTTAGGGCTTCGGAAAGCCCGAACGCCCCAAACGCGTAACCCTGAACCCTATCTCCCCCTCTCTCCCCTTCTCCCCCCTCTTTTCCCTCTGCCGCTCTCCGCCGATCCGCCTCTCCCCCTCTCCTTCCCCTCTCCCCCTCTCCCGCCCCCCCCCCCCAGACCGCGCTAACTATGCTAATTGCTTAAGAAGCCCAAGAATAAACACAATTCCTTTCCTGCCCTTGCAAGGAAGAATATTTACATGTTGGGGGTTAAACCCCAAACCCTATAAACCCTAAACCCTAAACCCTAAACCCTAAATAGCCATCCAAGGCGCGTAGCTCATCTTCGCCAGCTGCAGGCTTTTCGCCGGCCCGTGCAGCTGCATGCACCCAGACACGAACCTTAGCTGAGGGTTTAGGGTTTAGGGTTCAGGGTTTAGGGTTAGGGTTTAGGGCTTAGGGTTTTAGGGTTTAGGGTTTAGAGTTTAGGGTTTAGGGTGTAGGGTTTAGGGTTTAGGGTTTAGGGTTTAGGGTTTAGGGTTTAGGGTTTAGGGTTTAGGGTTTAGGGTTTAGGGTTTAGGGTTTAGGGTTTAGGGTTTAGGGTTTAGTTAGAGTTTAGGGTTTAGGGTAGGGTAGGGTTTAGGGTTTAGGGTTTAGGGTTTAGGGTTTAGGGTTAGGGTTGGGTTAGGGTTTAGGGTTTAGGGTTTAGGGTTTAGGGTGTTAGGGTTTAGGGTTTAGGGTTTAGGGTTTAGGGTTTAGGGTTAGGGTTTAGGGTTTAGGGTTTAGGGTTAGGGTTTAGGGTTTAGGGTTAGGGTTTAGGGTTTAGGGTTTAGGGTTTAGGGTTAGGGTTTAGGGTTTAGGGTTTAGGGTTTAGGGTTTAGGGTTTAGGGTTGGGTTTAGGGTTTAGGGTTTAGGGTTTAGGGTTTAGGGTTTAGGGTTTAGGGTTTAGGGTTTAGGGTTTAGGGTTTAGGGTTTAGGGTTTAGGGTTTAGGGTTTAGGGTTTAGGGTTTAGGGTTTAGGGTTTAGGTCCTCGAACCTTGGCCGACTGCGGGAACTCAGACTTTGCTTGGTTTCCAAGCTTTCGAAAGCTTGCCAGATCGAGTTTTGGGAAAGCAGGCCAGGGTTTAGGGCCCAGCACCAAAACCCCAAAACCCCAAAACCCTAAACTCTAAGCACTTGTACACCTTCCGTAAGCCCCTCAGACCCCTCAGACCCTCAACCCTTAAGCCCTGCGCGCCCCACTGTGTTTAGGTCTTAGGGTTTGGGGTTTAGGGTTTTGGTGTAGGGTTTAGGGTTTGAGGTTTAGGGTTTAGGGTTTAGGGTTTAGGGTTTAGGGTTTAGGGTTTAGGGAATCACCTTCAACCCTCCAAACCCCTGATCTCTCAAAACCTTTCAACCTTCCAGATCAAGAAGAGGAACATTCCTGACCCCATGGGCGGGCCTTACGAAAATAAATATTAACAAACAAACACACACACACACACACACACACACACCAACAGTAGGATTCCCCTTATACTAAGGACACCAACAAAGTACCCCTAATATCCCCAAGACCCACACGCCTTTCCAGCCGTTTAGGGTTTGGGCTTAGGGTTTAGGGTTTAGGGTTTAGGGTTTAGGGTTTAGGGTTTAGGGTTTAGGGTTTAGGGTTTAGGGTTTAGGGTTTAGGGTTTAGGGTTTAGGGTTTAGAGTTCAGGGTTCAGGGCTTACGGGTCACCCTGACTCCTTGGGAGGTGTGTCGGGCTGCAAGGAATCCAGGGGCTTTAGACGCCCTAAACCCTAAACCCCTTCAACCCCAAAACCTAAGCCTTTCGGCTTTTCAGAAGCCCTAAGCATCCCTAAACCCTATACCCTAAACCCTAAACCCCAAACCCCAAACCCTAAACCCCCTTCAACCACCCACAAAACCTCAACCTTTCGGGCTCTCCGATGCCCCGAACTGCCAGTTAGAACCCTAAACCCTAAACCCTAAACCCTAAACCCCCAGTTAAAAGATGCCGGGCCGCTCCTCTAAGTCGATCGTCCCACCTCTTACTGCGTACAGTTTAGGGTTTAGGGTTTGGGGTTTAGGGTTTAGGGTTTAGGGCTTGGGGCTTAGGGCTTAGGGCTTGGGGTGTAGAGTGGAAGGTGTAGGGGTCTGAAGGGTTTAGAGGTGGTTTAGGGGTGTAGAGTTGAGGGTTTTGGGTGCAGGGCTGAGGTGTTTCAGGCCCTGAAAGCCCCCTTCTCCTACCCTAAACCCTAAACCCCAAAACCCTAAACCCTAAACAAAGCACACCCAAACCATCCTCCCGACAGGTTCTTGCGATTAGGGCTTCGCGTTGTCGAGGAAGACAACGGATGGGACAATGGGATCATCTAGCATGAGTGGCGATCCACTTTTCTTGCAATAAACAGGGGTGATTAGAACGCCGTAAACCCTAAACCCTAAACCCTGAACCCTAAACCCTAAACCCTGAACCCTGAACCCTAAACCCTAAATAGCGAACCGCCTTCCCGGGCCCTTCGGGCCCTCGGGCTTCGGGGCTTCGGGGCTTCGGGGCTTCGGGCTTAGGGTGCCCAAAACCCTGAACTCTGAACCCCTGAACCCTCAGGCGTTTCATTAGGGTTTAGGGTTTAGGGTTTAGGGTTTAGGGTTTAGGGTTTAGGGTTTAGGGTTTAGGGTTTAGGGTTTAGGGTTTAGGGTTTAGGGTTTAGGGCTTAGGGCCGCAAAGAGAGAAGAGAGAAAGAGAGAAAGAGAGAGAGAGAGAGAGGGAGCAACGAAGCGGCCGAGCTGCTGTTGTCGGCGTCGATGAGGGTGAAGAGCATCTTGATGTCGTCCGTCGAAATGTCCAGTGACTCCAAGAACCTTTTTTCTTTTCCCTTTTCCCTAAACCCTAAACCCTAAACCCTAAACCCTAAACCCTAAACCCTAAACCCTAAACCCTAAACCCTAAACCCTAAACCCTAAACCCTAAACCCTAAACCCAAACCCTAGCTAAACCGTGGGGGGGGGGGGGGGGCAGGGGAGCCGGGGGTGATGGTGGTTAGGATTTCGGGCTTGAAGCTTGAGATGGTTTGGGGATTGAGGGTTTTGGGGACTCAGGGGGTTGATGGGTTTGAAGGATTTTAGGGTTTAGGGTTTAGGGTTTAGGGTTTAGGGCTTAGGGTTTAGGGTTTAGGGTTTAGGGTTTCCTGGTTACCTGAGCCGGGATGGTCGTTTGGGGCTGTAGGATGAAGAGGTGTTGTGGAGGATCTGACTTAGTAAGTTCTGAACAGCCCGTCCCCGATCGTCCAAGGCCTTGAAGGACTGAAGGGCCGAATTGGGGTTTAGGGTCTAGGGTTTGGGTATTAGGGTTTAGGGTTTAGGGGTTTGGGGGTTGAGGGTTTGGGGGGTTGGGTGCAGGGTTTTGGGTTTTGCAGGCTACCCGAGCTGCGTTGGAAGGCAGCCCCAGTTCCAACAAGTCGCAACCCGTCGAAGCCCTTAACCCCCTAACCCCCCCAAAAAACCCTAAACCCAGAATTAGGGCTTAGCGTTCAGGTTTACCCCCTACCCCCAAAACCCCTCCCCCTCTCCCCCCCCCCCTACTCCCCCTCCCCCCTCCCCCTCCCCCCCCCCCCAAAAAAAAAAAAAAAAAACAAACCCAAACCCTAAACCCTAAACCCTAAACCCTAAACCCTAAACCGTCAAATCACCAAGTGCCCGCTACAAGCACCCCAAGCTCGCCAAGCCGCGTCCCGACGCTGTCCAGGCCCATGGCCTCCTGGATGTCCTCTCAGGCATCTTTTTTTGAGCTTATGGGGTTCTGGGGTTTTTGGGGTTGGTGCCCTAAACCCTAAACCCTAAACCCTAAACCCTAAACCCTAAACCCTAAACCCTAAACAAGTACAAACACTTTTCTGCGTTGCTTATTACTTAGATGGCCCTCCATATAATAGTGGAACCTCAAGTGCTCGGCTGCGTGGCGGCTGCATGAGCGAGGGTTCAAAGCGAGGTCTTCAGCTCCTTGGCCACCAGAAGCCACGTGCCAAAAAGCAAGCTCACAAGTGTGAGCAGCAGTGACAGTACCGTCCAGATATCGTTCGATGAGCAGGCGTCTAAATTTACGAGCGGCCTCAGGGTCGGAATCATCGTGCTGGTTTGTGCCCCAAACCCTAAACCCTAAACCCTAAACCCTAAACCCTAAACCCTAAACCCAGATATTTAGGGTGTAGGTCTTACCCTAAACCCAGATATTTAGGGTTTAGGTCTCAGGGTCTGAGAGCGTATGGGGCTTAGGGTTCAGGGATCTAAGGTTGAGGGGTCAGGGGGTTTCGGGCTTAGGCTCGAGGTTTAGGGTTTAGGGTTTAGGGTTTAGGGTTTAGGGTTTGGGGTTTAGGGTTTAGGGTTTAGGGTTCAGGGTTCAGGGTTTAGGGTTTAGGGTTTAGGGTTTAGGGTTTAGGGTTTAGGGTTTAGGGTTTAGGGTTTAGGGTTTAGGGTTTAGGGTCGTCGACTGGCCGCAGTATTAGTGGTGGCCTCTTTGAGCTGGCACTTTGCATGCGACGTGGCGCGTGGTTTCTGAGCCATCGTGGAGAGCCAGCCCTAAACCCTAAATCCTAAAAAACATCCTAAGCCCTAAGCCCTAAGCCCTAAGCCCTGAGCCCTGAGCCCTAAGCCCTAAGCCCTAAGCCCTAAGCCCTAAGCCCTAAGCCCTAAGCCCTAAGCCCTAAGCCCTAAGCCCTAAGCCCTAAGCCCTAAGCCCCCAACACCCCACGATGAAAGGCCCCTAAGGGCACCGCCAAAGAGAACAATTCACACTGCATAGGGACAAGGTATGTAGAGATCATCAAGACCCAAAAGGGAGAACCCCGAGACCAGAACTCCCCCAACTCCCTAAACTCCCCACATAAACTTTAATTGCCCTAGTTAGCCTAAAAAAAACCCTAATTGTTCCTAAATAACCCTAAACTCCCTAAGCCCTAGCCCTGAACCCGAAACCCAAATGGCCCACTCCCCAAATGAGCTTTAACAGCCCTAGTTAGCCCAGGCAAAACCTTAAATAGCCCTAAATAATCCTAAGCTCCCTGAGCCCTAAACCCTAAACCTTTAAACCCTAAACCCCAAACCCTAAACAGCCCGGGCCCACCGTCCTGGATCTCAAGCTTGTTGGTTTGGCGATGGTCCAAAGCTTCGAAAGCTTGCTGCAAGATGTGCATCTGCTCCTTCTCTCACAAGAGAGGTGCTAGGGTATATGGTTTAGGGTTTAGGGCTTAGGGTTTAGGGTTTAGGGCTTAGGGCTTACGGCTGAGGGTTTAGGGATTAGGGTTCAGGGTTTAGAGTGCAGGGTTTAGGGATGAGAAATGACTGAGAGAGTTAAGTTCCTGGCTCCTAGGGCACCCCCGAAGCCTTGAACCCCGGGTTAGGGTTTCGCGTTTAGGGTTGAAGGGTTGAAGGGTTTAAGGGTTTATGGGTTTAAGGGTTTAAGGGTTTAAGGGTTTAAGGGTTTAAGGGTTCAAGGGTTCAAGGGTTTAAAGGTTTAAGGGTTTAATTAAGGGTTTAAGGGTTTAAGGGTTTAAGGGTTTAAGGGTTTAAGGGTTTAAGGGTTCAGTTGAGGGATTAAGGCCCGGCGCCTGTGAAAGCTTCTTCCAGATCAACTCCCGAAACTCTGAATTTCATAGCCCGAAACCCCACGCCGGCGAAACCCCGAACCCTAAACCCTAAACCCTAAACCCTAAACCCTAAACCCTAAACCCTAAACCCTAAACCCTCCGCACGCCTTCCGCTTCTGAAACGCCTTCAGCGCGGCGATGTCTTTGTCCGCGCTCGCACGCTCGATGGCTGTGTTCACGAAGACGCCTTGTGCATCGCTGTCCTATACTTCTGAACCTTAAGAGTTAAGGGGTTTAGGAGGGGTTTAGGGGTTTAGGGGTTTGCTTTCTCCATGGAAAAGGGCATCCATCAAGGGAGACAGGTAGGGG